GAAAAGACAAGGTGCTTCGAGAAGACATCATCTAACCAACACTCTCGGTAAATCCCATCTCATGGACATGCCGACCGCCATTCTCGGACCTCTCAGATAAAAAAACACGGAATCTTGTTGGATGGACGTCGGCGCCGGCGCGGGCTATTCCCGCCTGGGAGGAGACGGAGGGCGACGTCATGGACCATGGCGGTCGCATACCAGACCAGCTGGCGGCGGGCGACGACTTTCAAGATGCGACAGTAGTAGTCTTTTGGTGGACTCTCCGGGATCACTCTAGACCTTCTTCTCCCGCTGGATGCGTGCGGCCGGGTCGACTATCGAGCTCCACCCGTTGTCCACTGTAGCGCATCGTGTGCCTGGTTCCAGCCTGGCTTGATCGTGATCCCTCCTGTAGGAGTTGCTCCATGAATGTCTGCCCGAGCAAGGATTAGCTATCAGTGCCAGTGTCAGTCGCTGTCGGCGTATCTTGTCAGTGCCGTGCCAGCTGGTGAGTTATTCGAGTAGCCGTGTCCCAGTTCTTGATGATCCGTTTCACCTGTTCCTGACATCTCTTCTCTCTCTCCCTCTATTTATCTCGTACGGACGTAAACATCCAATCCATACCTGTCCCCCTCCACGCGGCCACCACCCCTCCATCCTCCATCCTCCTGCCCCAAGCGGCCTCCACCGAAGAAGCCTCCACAATCTCCAACTTTGCTTGAGCCTCCCCTGCTACTGTTCCATCCATCCACCACCCATCATTGCTCGCAGCGCTGCACCTAACATTAGCAGGCACCGCGGCCCTGCAACCCACCTCTTCCCAGCGGACCCCCCGGGCGAAGCTCCAACGCACTCTCGGCGATTTAGCCTGGTCCCGTCGCCGTGCTGTCGTGTCGTCCGGCCCTTCACCCGCCATCCGTCATCCGTCATCACATTATTTCTCCATATCGATCCAGGATATCCATCCAGGGGGTGGTCGGGGAGACAGGTTAGGTAGGTTGAGTGAGGGTTATCTTTCCAAGGCAGAGCGAAGAGTGGATTTTGTTTAATAAATCTCTTCTCCTCTCGAGTCCCTTTTTAATTCCCCTTCCTCCATCTTTTGGGTCTTTCCTTTTTTATTTTTTTGGTCCCTTTCTTGTCATATCCTAGAATTGGCAGGAGCAACAACCTCCGACCGTCAACATTCGACGACAGCTTCTATCCCACGCACCCCCCGCGAGACCTCACTCCACTTGCGTCTGTGTCAACCACACACCCCCCCGTTCGTTCATCTAAGCCGGACTACAACCTACAATACGAGCTCCTACTTCCGTCCGTCGTCTTCCACCTACCACTAGGTCTCGGTAATACAACCTTCATTCCCTCGTTTCTCCGTCTTTTGTCCTCCCTCGATTACTCGGCTCGACTTGGTTTCATCATCATACCGAATCCTCACCTCGAAGGCCATCGAATTCCTGCCTCGCTGAGGATAGGTCCAAGTCGCCGGCGACCATGGCTCCGTCTTTCCTCAGCAATCTACGCCGCCGCTCAAGGGCCAGTTTCCGCACCGATCGTTCTACGGATACGTCAAGCGATGGCGCTGGGAGCCAGGGAACGTCACCTTCGAGCGGTTCCCTCACGCCGCCCTCTCTAGACCACCAGTCAGATCCCGCTCTGCACCTGCAAGTCAAAGATCAGCAGCAGCAGCAGGTGGTCCAGCGCCGAAAGTCCCAGATCACCCAGAGCCAAAGCATGCAAATTGTCCCACCGCGACCTCCCCTGTCGGCGCATTCGAACCGCGGCAGCGTCTCGGGCATGTCCGGGCTCGGTGCGCCTGTCAACGGAAAACAGAACTTGCCAGTGTCGCCGTATGCTCCGAGGTTGACCAACATTGCTGAAAACGCATGGGTATGTCTTTGACCATCTTTCATTCTCGTCCTCGTGTCCAATTGGCTTCTCCGTGCGCTCAGAGGCGCAAGCCATAGCTTCAGGGGTCCAAGTAGTACAAGGATGATGCTGCCAAGACCTCCAAGAAGCCTCGCTGCAAGTCATTGTTGACAGCTGCTAATTCGACACAGGTTTACCAAAAATGTCTTCTAGTATACGGCACCATTGGCGATCCTGCCCATCATGCGCTCGACGGAACCCTCAATGTCTGCCGTCTCGACGACAATTTCCCCGCCATCAGCTGGCCCGTCTGCAGCTCACATTTCAAGGCTCTGGTCTACCTCCAACCAGGCGCAAACAAACTACGATTCGAGTTCTCAAGCCCCAAGCTCGCAAACAGCAACAGCTCCAACCCGATCCACGCCTCATACGTGACCGTCCACATGCTCCCGACAACTAACTCTCCGCCATTGCAACTTGCCATTGTGCTCGCCAAGGACTCCCCGGGAACCTTTGACGCTTCGCCCGCTCGCGCTGAGAGGGAAGGCAATGGGCTGGAAACGGCTATCAAGAAGTTCAGGATGGCGGCGTATCTGTGGCAGGCATTCACGTCTGAGCAGATGTGGCGGAATAAGCTTGGGCGACGAGCTTTCCGGTTCGATGAAGAGTGGACGACAGGCACCGCCAACTATCGAGACCGGGAGAATGGTGTTATGCGATCCGAGGCGAGAGTTCATGTTATCCGATGCGACAAGACTGTTGCCGAGCTCAGAGATCTCAACAAGGCCCAGCAGAACGAAAAGGCTACCCAGAAGGACGCGCTGTTTGGAATCGCCTCGGAGGCCGTAAAGAAGCACTTCAACCCGCTCCCAGGCCAAAAGCTCTATGTTTCAGCCCTACTTCTGGACGCACACTGGGACAAAGACGCAAAAACCGTGACGGGCCATGCCGCCCTCGGAGGCGGAGATGGCGATCTACAACTGGCAATTTTTGGGTCTCACTGTCTGCAGAGCTATCCCACAAGTTTCGAGGAGGTTGTTCCAGCCTTCACTGACTGCACACCCACCGACACCAACCATGTGGCCAACGACTGCAACGAGGCCGGCAGCTCCTGGGAGGCTGCCAACATTGGAATCGGTGCGCATCTCCATGAGACGGGTCATCTCTTTGGGTGCCCCCACCAAGAGAGTGGTGTCATGTTACGAGATTACGTTGTTCTCAACCGCACCTTTGTTGCCCGCGAAGCCTACTGTACCAGAACCAAGTCCAAGGGGGGCCTGGCAATGCAAGCTGACGAGTGTGGGTGGCACCGCCTCGATTGCCTGCGCTTCCGGGCTCATCCAGCTTTCCGTCTTCCGAACGATGCCCCGATGAACCCCGACGGTAGCGTCCAGGCATTCCCAGTCGAAAATGGCAACGTTCTTGTCATGGCGGCTACCGGAATCTACTTTGTAGAGATCTTTGCTGAAGGCGACGACGTCTGCCACTCCTGGATCGAGTATCCGGCCGACCAAGGAGCACCTTCGCGACAGGTGACACTGAGCGAACAGGAGCTTCGTGCAAGAATGCCCGAGAATAAGAGAAAGGGCCGCTTCAGAATCTCGATCAAATCGTACGGAGGCGGGTCGTTGGATATTGATGACTTTAAGGCGTTTGCGTCAAAAGAATCGTCCGTCAAGCTGTCGAATGGAAAGACTGCATTCCGAAGCAAGAAGCTCGGATCCTCAAAGATGGATGGAAGTCAGCCTACTGAGGCCATCTTCACCAGTGCTGTGAAGCAGGATCGTATCCTTTCGCGGGTGATTGTCTACCACGGAATGGCGCTAGATGGGATGGAGTTTGTCTATGATGATGAGTCGACTCAGGTGTTTGGAAAGAAGGGTGGTAAGAAGGGAGGTGATGTTTTTGAATTCGGTAAGACCCCCTTTTGCATGGCATTATTCGAAACGAACTAACCGTATCCCTTAGATGTCCGCCGTGGCGAGTACATTAGCGGTTTCGTCGTGCGGTCCGGCTTCTGGATTGACGGCATCCAAATTCTGACAAGTCTGGGCCGGAAGTCGCCCGTGTATGGCAATGCAAATGGCGGAGATTCGTAAGTGCCCTGCTGCCATTGGTCTTTCCAGGCTAACACATGATGCAGACACACTTTGATACCCCCTCGAGGATACACCATCTGCGGCGTTTCAGGCTCATGTGGCCAGTGGCTTGATGGTTTCTCGGTTCTTATCACACGATGAACGAAGCATCAAACGCTCTCTTTTGTAAAATCACACACGGAACAACATGGAGAAGAGCCCGAAAGCCGATGGAAAGGCACTAATTGGGCGTTGACTTGAGTAGCATGATGAAGAACTTGGCGGCCATGGCCTTTGGGCTGGTCCATGCTTGGGTGCCGACACACGTATATTCATTTTTCGGCGACTAAAAACACGCCGCAGGCACTAGGGAGGGCATTGGTCTTGACCCGGAGTTTGGAGTACGCATCTTGTCTATTGCCTCTCACGAGGCGGCACACGCCACGGTAGGATATACATAACCAGGTATGGAGGGATGGGCACACATTATACCAGGGAGGTCATCCTGAATTCATACATATGAAATGAATTGTTGTGTTTGCGATTAAAGCAGCTCTATTTTGTTTATATTCCTGTTGTAATGATGGTGAACTTACATGCCGCGATGCTTGTGGAGATGCTATTTGCATCACTGACTTGCTGTAGCCACAACAAGATACTGCAGCAACACATCGACTTTACGGTGAGACCAAACGTCTGTGCGAGTGTGAGCATGAGCTTTACATCTGATCAACTCCCGTTATCAAGTGTCGGTAAGGGCCCTTTAAAGGCCAAAGTTCCCCTCAAAACACCCATGCCAAGATACGCACGCCCCGATGGAGACGCAAATGTGACGCTGAATTGCCGCCTTTGTCGATGCATGTGACGACTGTGGCCGATGACTTGCAGCCGGGGATGACCAGCTCCAAAACGTTGAGCCGTCCAAGCTGCGGAATCACGTGAAAAGGGCATTGGGACACTAAGCAGAACTGGGAGTAGCGCCCACATTGATGACGGCATCCCCACCCAAGCAAGGAAAGAAGTTGGCTGTGCCGAGTAGCAAACCCGCAACGGCAACCGCGACCAGAAGGCCTCCTCAACGTCAACCATCTCCATCCGTTCTCGTATCCCCGTTGGGAAAGCCTCTTTTTTTTTTTTCTTCCCTCTCTCTACCACAGCCTCCCAACGCCACAGAAATTACCAGACTATTGCATTACGCGGCCGTATCCATACCGACATTACTTTCGATTGCTCTGGAAACCTCTTTGCTTTTTTTCTTTTCCCGTTGACACCGCTGCTTTCGAGACAGAGCTTGACCTCAGTTGCGATTGCATTGCCATACTCGACGCCAAGAACTCGACATCTCGACAGTTCTCACCCCGAACCGTCGGTTCTACTCTACTTCTCAAAACCCCGCTCCCATCTACAGCTGTGGCCATAGGTCGCCGCAGAATGTCTAGGCGGAGCAGCACGATGGCGTCGAACTCGAACGGAAACATCCCCAAGGACATCCAGTCCTCCAACCCAGGTGAGTTCCAGTCTGCCATGGTCTCGTGCGAAGGCAAAGGAGTGAATAATGAGCTTCGCGAAGCTGACAATGCCTTAATCTATAGCAATGGACAAGCAAAAGATGCTTCTGTCTGCCGATGTTGGACACTTCTCCCTTGTGCGCGCCATGCACCTTGCCGACTTGATCACCCTTCTGAACGGTATGCGCTCCCTCGATGCTACACGGCACAATTGATATTCCCAGATATTCTGGGCGGGGAAGCATATAGCTAACTGAGCGATTTATAGGTGGCTGCGGTGTCATGTCCATCTTCACGTCGCTACGATACTGCCTCGGTGACCCCAACGTACACGACAGCATCTGGCTTGCGCTCGCCTTCCTTCCGTTCGGCCTGTTCTTTGACTTTCTCGATGGAAAGGTGGCTCGCTGGAGGAAGAAGAGCAGCTTGATGGGCCAGGAGTTGGACTCTCTCGCTGATTTGGTATGTCTGCCTCCTTGTGTGACTCGTGACGTCAAGTTCTGACGCGACGCTCTTGGTTAGATCTCCTTCGGTGTCGCCCCAGCTATGGTGGCCTTTACTCTTGGCTTCCGTACTGTTGCCGACACGGTCGGCCTCACCTTTTTCGTTCTGTGCGGTCTCACCCGTCTTGCGCGCTTCAACGTGACCGTCGCTGTCCTGCCCAAGGACGCCTCGGGCAAGAGCCAATATTTTGAGGGAACCCCCATCCCTACCTCGCTTGGCATGGATGCCATCATGGGGTACTGGCTCTCGCAGGGCTGGATCCATGACAACCTGCCTTTCGGCACCTGGTTCCAGGGCTCTGCTCTTGAGTTCCATCCTGCCGTCATTCTGTTCATGATCCATGGCTGCCTCATGACCAGCAAGACGATCCGCATACCCAAGCCCTAAAGGATGGTCAAAGAGACCGTTCAACACGGGATAACAGCGATGACATCATTACGAGATAGGAATAAGCGGGAAGGGTGGGAATGGGTGGAGCAACGGGGTGAACATTTTCATTTCTGGCTTTGGGAATCCTATCATGACTATGGTCCATGATTAGGGAGAAACAGAGGCAAATCGGATACGGAAAGGATAAAAACAGAAAAGCGGAGGAAACAAGGGGGAACAAACATGATATCTCATGAGACTGAGCGATATACTTGGACAGGGCATGACTAACGCTTCTCATTGAACAAAGGTAGTTAAAGATACCCATACATTCCTTGATCTGTGGCTATCGTCTTGTTCAATGCGACATGTGGCTTTTATTGTTCTGTCTGTGCCAAGATTGCGAAATTACAGCTCTACTGTAGAAACAGGGATATATGTATGTCAGCAAGCTGAAGAGCTGCTGGCGTTGCCAAGCAGACTTGAAGATGACAGCCTCATGCAGGTGAGTCGTCTGGACCCGGAGAAGAAGAATATTGCTGTTCTTGGTCATCTGACAGGAGGCCTTGCTCCAAGTTGCCGGTACCTGGTGATGGTGCAAGATGAGAGATGATGGGAGTCTGAGATCTACGTCTTACGACACACTCATGGCATAACACAGAGTTTGTTGTTTCCTATTTTGTGAGTCTCACCCGGGGAGCTGAGAGAATTAAATATGAGAGCCTGATTGGTTTCCAATATGCAACAAGCCAACAACATCTCTGGCGTGAAGCCTACGTCTGAAACACGCGGCATGAGGTGCAGAGACCATTCGTCAGATCCGTCTTGAATGTGTGCCAGAGCTTGGAGCTAGGGATTTTTTTGACTCCTCCCTTCCGTAATGGTCCTTCCGCAGACCGGGTCATGGGTAGTGACTGATAGAGGATGAGGCTGTGTTGGAGATGGGATGGTGTGCGAGGGTTGGCGTGCGGCTGTGTGAGGGTGGATGTGGGGTTGACAGACTGGGGGGCCTTGAGGAGCGATGCTTACGCTTATTATGAGCGGGAAATGAGGTAGTAATCGTAAATGTCGGCCAATGGAGCCTTTATTGGGGGGAATATCTGAGAAGAGGTGGTGATGCTGTGAATTGTTGTTGTTTGAGGATCGGGAAGGGAGTATCGTCGGACCTTCCTTCCCGTTTGTGGCTGTAGGCGATCTCAACGATTGTTGGTCGCAGCCGCCCGCGCCTTCTTGTCCTCCTCCACCATCACCACACACCTTTTCACTCATCACCAACAAGCCATTGAGGGACGAGCCAACCAGATGCGAGAATTGTGCAGCGGTAGTACCCTCACAACCGCCGGGAGCAGCTGCAGCGCGAGCATGAGCGCGCAGCATGATGGCGCATCTTTGCAGCAGGAAGCAGTAGCAGGAATTCCACACTCGAGATTTCGATGCGCCTCGGGGCTAAGTAAGCCTAGATCCTGGAAGAAGTCCTACAAGCGGGGAGAAATGGAGAAAAAAGAGAGTGACCAACAAGAGAAGTGGAGAGAGTCATGATCCTCCTGCTCGACAAACCCCGGCATTTGGGGTCTGGGTGAACTATTTCTGGCTCGCTCACAGTGAGAGCCCCCATCCTTCATCTCGGTTCATCGCAACTAGGCCCTGGGCCTAGCAGCGGAGGTGAGGAGCCAAGAGTCAGCCCTGGCGGCTCAGACGCGGCGGCGCCTCAGTCCCGGATGGGTGGATGGTCTGGTCTGGGCATTTGATCGTTTTCGCCTTGCAAGCGCAGGATTCTTAATACCCATGGCGTCCGCCGCAGTCCTTGCTTGTCCTTTGACGAGTCGATTCCATCTTCTAGAACCTTTTTCACGCTCGCTCTATGGTCTCTGATTCAGTCATGATGCTTCTGCTGTGGCTTCCCTTCTCTTGTTAATGCACCCTCCTCATTGATCCTCTTTCAGCTCATCCAACCAAAAGCTCACTGACCTGAGGCTATGAATGTCGATCGGTGCTGACGCTCGTCCTTTGTTGCTGACGCTCGTCCTTTGTTGCTGACTGCTGCTCCCCCCTCATTCACCCTCCCTCACGATGGAGCCTCTTAGGAGTCTGGAGAGGCAGGACTCAGAGAAGTCAGAGGCTCGCCGCGAGCACCTCCGCGTCAATGCCGCTGTTCAGAATGTCACTGACACAATGATCGCCGTGACCGAGTCCTTTCGTCACCACTACCAACAGCAGTATGGTGGCTACGCTCCCCCGGCGCCGGCGCCGACTTATACACACTCTCGAAGCTCTTCCAACACCAGCGAATCAACCGAGCGCCTGCTAGATGTAGATCCCATGAGGCACATGAGCGTGTCTGACATGTCCCCGTCTTCGATATCTCCCTATCAAACCAGCCCTGTGCCCAACGTGCTTGCCCCAGGACGTTCACCAGACGCCGAGTCGGATTCTCTCCTCGAGACAGACATGTACACGGAGATGACTGAAACCACAGGGCCAGGTCCCGAAGACTTGATCCGCCTTGCAACACCGAATCTACCTGCTCGACTGGATACACCTCACACTCCTCCTCCTCGCTTCAGTATCCCAGTTAACCTCTCAGAACGTCAACCTCACGTCTCCCCACCTCAGCTTGCAACGGACTTTTCAGTCAACCATGGAGGACTAGTCAACGCTGCTAGACGCTTCGAGGCGTTTAGATCGACTACTCAGCATCATCAGTACATGGCTCTTAGACCCGATATCGGTACCGAAACGCAACCTCTCGGCACAACCACCCTCATTCGCGCAGGCACCGATGTCGAATCTCCAGTATCTAAAGGTGGCGTACGGAGGAAACCCCTGACCCGAGGCGCCAAGCCGATCGAGTTCAACTACGCCACCAACGAAACCCTCTTTGTTGCCGTCATCTGCATGGCCCAGGTGCTGGGGTTTGCTGGTCTTGCTCAGACCTTGGTGCCGGCTCGAAAAATTAGCGAGTCTTTCTCAGAGTCGGAGCGAACGACGGGACACCTCGCGTGGTACTCGGCAGCATATGCCCTTGGCTTTGGGGCAACGACTCTTCTCGGTAATCGACTTGGAAGTGTTTGTGGTCAGAGGCAGACATTTATCCTGGGCTATCTCTGGTTCGCCCTGTGGAGTCTCCTCGCTGGACTGAGTGTATACGTTGAAAGGAACGGCGATTCGGGGACCGTCTACTTTTGTGTCTGCCGTGGTATGCAAGGAATTGGACCTGCATTGATCATTCCCAACGGCCAGGCCATGCTTCAGCGTGCTTATCCGCCTGGTCCTCGAAAGACGCTCGCCATGGGCTTGTTCGACGCTGCTGTACCTTTGGGCTTGGTCCTTGGTTCTGTCATGACAGGACTCTTTGCCGGGTTTGGCTCTTGGTCGTGGGCATTCTACTCACTGGCAGCTGTGTGTTTAGCGCTGGGGGTTTCTAGCGCTCTCCTTATTCCGTCCAAGAGGGTTTTGGTCCACGACTTCGAGGGCAATCTCTGGAAACGACTCGACATTCTAGGTCTGGTGTTTGGCGTTGCTGCTCTGGTTCTTTTCTGCGTCGGCTGGAACCAGGCGCCTATTGTAACCTTTGAAAGCCCGGAGCCATATATCCTTATATTTGCCGGCCTCATCCTCATCCCACTATTCACGTTTTTCGAAACGCAAGCGAGTCATCCTCTGGTTCCCGTCAAATCGATGCATATACCGGCCTGCTTCACTCTTGGTTTTGTGGCGGCGAGCTGGGCAGCCTTTGGAGTCTGGATTTGGTATTTCACCCAGTTCATGGAAGTTTTGGGAGACTGGAAACCTTTGCTTGTTGGAGCAGGGCTGGTTCCCGTGCTTGTTGTCGGTGTCGTTGTTGGGTTCATGTGTTCCCCCTTTGTGGCCCACGACTTGACGGCTCACCTGGCCATGGCGGTGGCGGCAATTTTCTCGTTGATTGGTTCTGCCCTGATGGCTACGGCTTCAGAAAAGCAGTCTTACTGGGTCAATCCCTTTATCAGCACCATCTTTATGGGCGCTGGGATTGTCTTGGTGATTCCGTCCTCTGTTACTGCCCTGACTCGAAGCGTTCCTCAAGGACAACCCGGACTCGCAAGTAGTCTCAGTACGACGTGGGCAGCATTCAGCTTTGCTGTGAGTTTGGGCATGGCGGGTGCTGTAGAGATGGGGAACAGCAATAGAGGTACATATCCTCGGGAAGGGTACAGAGACGCGCAGTATTTTGGGTTGGGGATGAGCGGGTTGAGCCTTGTATTGGCCTTGGGCCTTCTCTGTGCTGCTTGTTTAAGGCGTTGAATTGGATAATTGATTGGCATGTCAATGTACTTGGGAGGAATTGCTGTTAGTTTTTATACCCCGGCGAGCGTCGATAGTTGTAGTCGTCATACACAGCACTTGAAAGGCAACAGACAAGAAACGAGTGAGCGTAAAAGTTGCCCGTCTTTGTTTTCTCTCTCCTCTTCCTTCTTGAATCCTCTGCGTCTGTACAGAATCCCAATGCTGCGCCATGAGCGCGCATTTATAGGATCGGATATAAAGAGCCAGCGGGGGAAAAACCAGAACCAAGCAAAAACGACAACAGTAATTGGAAATAAGACCGTATAACGCCAAAAAAAAGAATACACATTTCCCTTTCTTTCTTCCCCTCCTTTCCAACAACACCTTCGTGGGTCGCGTTTTTGTGTCGGGGCTCGAAACTCTCAAGGAGGTCATGTCGTTTATCGGCCACCTCGGCTGAAACCACCACGTCCTCGACCACCACCGAAGCCGCTGCCACCCCGAGAGAAACCACCGCTGCCACCGCGACCACCTCCTCGGCCACCGAAGCCACCTCGAGAACCACCCCGAGGACCACCACGGCCACCGCCAAAGCCACCACGACCACCTCCACGAGCACCAAAACCACCACGGCCGCCACCACGAGGACCGCCACGACCACCACCAGCACGCTTCACCTTGGGAGCGCCAGGCGGGGGCTTGGGCTTGGGGAGGAACTTGTCGAGGGGCAGGAGCTTCTCGGAGCCGATGTAGAACTTGTCGCCCTCCTTGAAAGAGGTGGCCTGGATGCCCTCGGTGGGCTTGATGGTGAAGAAGACCTGGTTGATGGGGCCGAGGACCTCGTCGACCTTGCCGACGGCCGTCTTGTTCTCGAGAAAGATTTGCGCGTTGAAGTGAGGCACCTTGGGGTTGATGGACTCGCAGACCATTTCGCCTTCGCACGCGTGCATAAACTTGCCCATCTCTGAACATACAGGTCAGTGAATTCGAATACTCAAGAGCAGGAGTAGGGGGTTACACACCGAGGATCTGAGCAGGAGGACCCATGTCTCGCTGTCCGAAACCTCCACGGCCTGAGAACATTACACGTTAGCAACTTGTCATCTCAACTTCAACACCAACTCCTAGACTCCAATTCATTCTCTCAACGTTTTCCCCTCTTGTAACTTCCCTCCCAAGTACCCTCAACCTATCCAACATCTTATAAAAAGGAACAAGGGGACATACCGCCTCCGCGACCGCCAAAGCCGCTACCGCCCCGACCTCGCGAACCGCCTCGGAAAGACATGATGGCGCGTTGTTTTTTTTGTGTATTGGATTGAAAATCCGGGTCGCCAATTGAAGCTGCTTGATTCGCGCACGACTCGATCGTCCTCGCTCGCTTGGTGTTGCTGGAAAAACCTTCGTTAGGAAGTTGGTTTCGCGATGGGGATCGTTTGCTTCCAACTTTTTTTTCCAAGTGTGAAATTTTCAGAAAGGAAAATCGCCTTGTTCCCACCAAAGGTCTGGCGGGAAGCTAGCTTGGAGCACGCCGATTGGTGGGTGGACGCATTTTCGGATTATGAGTTTTACCGGGTGGCTGGTGGAATGAGGTACGTACCTACACCAGCCCCAACTTGATGCTCAAGGTCACTCACTCTCAACACTCACAACTTCATGATAATGTCATCATTTTCACTGATTCATTTCAATTTACGAAACTCGCTAAATAGCTTCCAAACAAACACTCAAAATTCATTGCCTAACGAGGGATATACAAAGCACACGTCTCGTAGCGAACGCCTCCTGACCCTCAACGAGACTACTCGCTCCATCCATGACCATTGTTTTGAAACTGCACCCCTTCCTTGCCATATACACACTCCAACCAAAAGGAAATCGAGTAACGAAATGCCCACACTAAAGAGAAGCCCAGTGGCGCCAGTCCACCTCACGCAAAAGTGCTCTTAGGATAGCCACCAGGAATGTGCAGGTTGGAAATAGTGTTGTGGCTCTCAGTGCGGTTGTTGCCACCAGGTCGCACAGGGGGAATATCATCCTCGTCGTCTGTTCGGAGAAGAACCGAGTCGGGCTCCGTAAACACAGATTCCGGCTTGTTAGTAGAAGGCTGAGACTCGCCAGCAGCGCCGCCATCCAGTCTGGGGAATCCTTCTCCAACTGTCATCATGCGGTAGTTGGTTGCTTTGGCACCACTGTTGGTATGATCATCCCAGCCTGGCTGCTGGCTAGAAGACGCCTCCCGGTCATATGACGCAGAGTCGTTGTAGGATGTCTGGTTGTAAGTTGAGGTCTGAGGACCAAGGACGTATCCGTTGTTGTCTTGCTCCCGCTCTTCATGCGTGTTGCCCTGCATGTCATACGGTGGCTTGTTGTCGCGATCCTCCTTACCCTGAGGAATCACGATGGGAACAAAACGGGTATCGTCTCGGTTCTCCTCGACGTATTCCGACAGCCCAACGGGATACTGTGGATAAGGCGGCTGGGGCTGGGGCTGATGAATCGTCATCTGTTCAACCGGGGCCTGCTGGACGGGCTCGCTCGTGTAAGGGTTGACACCATCATAGTGTGCCTTTTGGCTGGCAATGGCAGCATTCGAGGGCATCTCGTCCAGAGGTGTCTGGTGCACAGCTCCATAGCCCAGACCATTCTCCCGGTTCTGTTTAGAGTTTCCAGCTGCCGATCCAACCAGGGCCCCCGTCACAATCGGCGGCAAGGAGTCCTTGTGGTTGTCCTGGAACCCGGAGCTTACACTAGAAGGCGAATGAGAGGCCTGTAAGCCACGTTGCGCATTGACTTGGATATCAGATGGGAACCGCCCACCTGCTTGAGATCGCCGGGGGGTCGTATCGTGTTGCCTCGGTCCCGGGTTGGTGAAGGATTCGGTGTCGGCCGTGAAGGGCTCCTCGTCTTCCTCGTCGACCAGTCCATCGCTACTAACTGACCGTCGGGATGATCGGCTAAGGCTCCTAGAATGGCTGCGCACAAACTGGCTGCGCTCCTCAGGCGTCTTCTCTGTGAGCACCTTGATATCCTCGTACCAAGCCATCATGGTATCGTGGCTCTCGGCGCGGAAGACCCAGGTGTGTCCACGGTGCATACCACCCGTCTGACGGCCCTTGAGAATAAACTTGTTGGAAGAGCCCTCTCCGTTCGAATGAGATCCTAGTTTCTGTTCTGGAAGGTATAGAGACATGACGGGGGCTTGCGCCTTGTCCGCCGATTTGAACTCGTGGAGGTGAGTCGCAGAAAGTACATACCTGGGATATATTAGCAGAGCCCTCATTCGCAAGACAATAGACTTACCAGCCGGCTGTATAGCTCTTGAGATATTTGCTCTTTCGCTCCAGCAATCCGGCCCGGATCTCCTGCGCCGCCTCGTGGTCCTGTCCGGGATAGTGAATCTGGTCCGCCGTCCTGAGGGGGATTGTCGGGTCGACGAATTTCTCGTCGTGGGTAACAAAGTGCATCCATTCGTGGTCCTTGGGCATGGAAATTGGGCCGTCTCGAAGCTCGCCAATGACGCTGTACGAGTTGTCGGCCTCACGCTTAAGGATGCCAGCGTAGGCATTATAGGCCTTCTGGATCTCTCCAACAACGATCGACTCTAGCTCTCGGCCCGAGTTCTCCAGGTTGAGATATGCCTGGTGCAGATAATTCTCTTCATCAATCTGCCGTTCCACCTGACGGTCGACAGCCAAGCGGAGCAAGTATGGGTCTTGTTTGCCGGTTGTCAACGACTCATCAAGCTCATTCCGCCCCAAGGTATCACCAAGAGTCTTGACTGCCTTGCGAGTGTGGTCCATCTCTTTCTCAACCGAATTCTTGAAGTCACCCGAGAGGTTCTTAATTTCCTTGATCTTCTGCTGAAGATCGCTTCGCAATCCAGTCAGGGCGAGAATCACGTCATCTTCAATCTCCTTAGCCTTGTTGGCTTCGAGAACAGCGTTCTTGTTGTAGACTCGCAGAGATTGAAGCGCATCATCAATACCCGCCGATTGAAGGAAGCCGGGCGGTGCTGAAATGTTGTTGGAAACATTGGCCAGCTTGATGAGAGATTTGGAGCGGTGCTCATAGTGTGTCTGAATCTCACGAAAGTATGCGATGAGATCCTTGAGCACCTTTCGCCAGTTCTGAAACCGGTTTGCGAGCGCATCGGTCGGGTTGCCAGATGTGGGAACCGGGCAGTGGAAAGCACTGTGCGCCTCATCGGGATCGGAGGTAGATTGCAAGGCGAGACTCTTGACGCTGCCAGCCCTCATGCTACGATGGCTGCTGCTACGCTTGAGGCTCCCATTGCGGCGCAGCGAGTTCTTTTTCTTGAGAGTGTTGGAGCGCACAGGGAGCGCTGAGTCGTCGCCAGCATTGAAGCTGTGCACCGAGTTGGCGCGCTGCATGCTTGCGCCGTTGTGAGGATAATCAAGAAGGACAGAAGGTCCACGCTGTGCGGCTCCCCATTCCTCGGTGAAACGACCCTGTTGCTGCGACAGCTGCTGCGGCGCGTGTGTAGAATTCGAGACGTGGTAGTCGTCGTCGTATTGTGGATGAGGTTGCGTATTTGCGTTGGCGGCCGTGTTGAGGGCGGTTGCGCGTTGGTATGAGGCCGAGGAGGATTCAGGAGGAGAATCTTGACCGTAAGAGTATGAATAATAAGGACTCTGAGCGGAGGCCGGATGATGTGGAAGAGATGAAGGTTGACCTTGGGATTGGGAGTGTGGTAGATCCATGGCGGAGGTGGCGCTGTTATCCCTCCTGCTCCCAAGTAGCTAACAGGACAGGACTAGTGATGGTGTAGAAAAAGGACGGACGGGATGGACCACGAGGAGACCGAGATGGAAGGGCGAGGAACCTAGACAGTCAGTATATGCGCGGTGTGGAGGGGAGTACTTTGCACTGCAGCGGAGCATGCAGCTGGGCTTGGCTGGTTGCTGGGCGAAGAGGACGGGATGGACGCAACCAAAATCAGGGTGTAAACTTCCAGGTTACGTTACGGGCGGCAGGATGATGGTGTTGACGCAATGGGCGCACAATGGCCGCTGACGGCGCACGTCGACACCCAGCGAGCTAGCACCAGAAGGGACGTCGCTCGAGTCCAGAAGTGAGACTAGTGGCTCCCGGAAGCCCACCTCACCGTCGTCTGTTCCAGTGTGGAGGGGGCCTGAGACAGCGATGATGATGATGGAGATGCGACGTACAGTATCTTGATTAATTATCTGAGAGCTCAGCCTAAGACGCAGCTCGAGTGGAGACGAGGTATGAGATTCGAGTCAGCGGGTAATGGACTGAAGATCAGGGTCTGTTCGTGAACGTGGAGGACAGGTCGACACAAGATGCAGTGAATCTAGACCTCGGTGTAGGTTTCGAGAGCTGGATGTCTGTTTATGGATCCAGCCGAGGACGATATAACTAGCAGACGCCAAGGATAGGACGGTACAAAAAACGACCGAGCTGAGGAAAGGTACTGGAGGTGTGCCGGTGACAGCTTGGGGCGGCAATGTATGATGTTAGTGATGGTCGTTGCGATGGTTTGTTTAGGGCAGGACAGGACGATGATGCAGATGTTCAGACAAAGCCAGCAAGGGTAAAGGAGCCGGTTCCCTGAGTGAAGTTGCCCGCCAAGAACCCGTCACTTACACCAAATGGGCTCATCTAGCGGCGATACTTGCAAGGTACATCCTCTGACAGCACCCAGACCCCCTAATTCTTGGCACACAGGCAGCAAAAGACCCCTACACGCCTGTCAGGACTAGCACTCCAAAGGTACTTTCTTGTGCCTCTCCCACCCGCAAACACCTGCTGCTTGCAGCCAGTTTCTTCCCTTCCCCCACCTCCACTTCCCACCATGACGTCGCCGACGCCACTCCAAGAACGTTTCCCTCTTTGGTGATGCCCTCGACCTGCAAGAAACCAAACGACGATCGTCATCTTCCCCCAGAGTCTTACGGTCCCCCGGTTTCGACTGTTTCTGCTATTGCTGCTCAGCCACGCGCCGGACGCACACGGCTCCGTCTGGGCCCGCGTCACGTTCCTGCGTTGATGTTCATTATCCCTCGGCATCACCGTCTCCCAGATCTGCAGCTTGTTGTTTCATCGACTCGTTAATCACCTGGATGTCTCCGGCATGTGGGTTCTCCCTGGGCTTAGCGTTCTGTCGTCCTTACAGCACAGCCGGATCCGGCTCGGCACTCTTCTGGGCTGAGTACCCGTATCTTTGAGTTCCTGGGCAAGACGCTGTGCAAACCTTGGGCTAGTTACATCCGAGTGTCTTTGAGCTGTCCATCTGGTATCACGGAGTCGTACAATCCCCTCAATGATGCCTTCGTCACATGTCATTGTGAGACGTGAATTCTTCTGAATTCTTCTGTTAACTCCTTTGTTACCAAGGAGCTTCTTCTCACGGACCTATCCATTCACCAACTCAGTATAGATAGTCTCTACACGCTATAGTAATGAGGCCGCCGGCGTTTATACTTGGCAATCTCCCCGAATAATCCCAAAACGCCATGCCTGATGCTTTGTGCCCAACAAAGTGAAAGCTCCACAACGCCGTCGTCAAACCAACAGTTCCCTAGCGTCATGACCTTGATCGGTGCTCTCCACTATCCACAGATCTTTCCCCAATAGTCTTCTGTAACTCTTGTGTTCCTGGTCATAAGTTGTGTTTGCAAGAACGGGTTCACGCCACCTACTCTGGAACGGCCTCTTTGGCCGGCTCTGCGGGAGGGTTTTCAACCGTCTTCATCTTCCCTCGTCGTCTCGGAGGCGGCGCTTTAGGAGGAGTCTTCTTCTGGCCCCCGTTGACAAACTTTTGTGCAAACGGGACTCCATGTCGATGCTTTGGTACTGCTGGTAGAGGCTTCTTGGGCCTGGATGCCATCGTGACGCCCTCCTCTGAGCCGTCGGCGTCTGCTTCTTCGCCCGCACGGCTCGGCGTCTGCACACCAGGCTTCTCCTTAACTGCTGCCACGTCGCTTACGCTGATACTACTCGCGGTGTCGGAGCGCGACAAGCTGATGCCCAAAAACCTGCGAGCCACCTCTGCCTCACCGGACCCTTGTGTGGGCGATTCCACCTCTTCAATCCATTTGACCTTTGAAACACGATCGACCAGGCGCAATGTAGTCTCGTCAGCTGGCGCAAAATGCACATTATGCGAGCCTCGAAGGATGTTTAACACCCGAAGGATCTCGTCCTGTTTGTAGTGTGGCGGCTGGCTCAGTTGGGTGTGCGCCAACAACGGATACAAGACTCGTAGGTAGGTATGCCTCAAAGACATCTTCTCGTCCGGAAGGTCCATGAGGTTCCGAATGATGACGTCGAGGAGCACCCTCAGGTCGTTTGTGTAAAAGTATTCGTATGTCGCCTTGTTTGTGAACAGGAGATACAGCAGCTTCAAGATAAGCAACTGTAACGAAGTCTCCGTTTCACGGTTTAGAAGCAGGATAATATTCTCTCCAAAAGTCCTGAAAAACGGTCCATGTAGACTCAGGCATTTGACAATTCGGTTGGTCAAGGGTGAGGACGGATCGTTGGCGGCATCGGTCGACGCGAGCATATACTGTTCATTCAAGACAAGCTGTTTTCATGTTAGTCGCCACTGCACGCTAGCATTATGTTCTGCTACTCACCAAAACTCTTATCGTAGGATAGTGGTAGGGGTCATGAACATCGTCAGACACCTCCTCAATCAAGCGGAACAAGTAGTGGACAAAGCTATCGTCGACCACCTGTAAATCATCGACTCGAAGCCGCTCCATACGCGACATCTCGTACATGAGCTGCAGCAAAAGTCGATGCAAACGCGGATCTGCGTCTCGACGGCCATTGATGAGCTCAAGGAGGCGGGGGAAGCAGGACTCGCCCACCATGCGGGGAAACATGGTCTCGTCCTGGCAACCATCGAGCAGGAGGAAACAGGCGATGGCGTGGAGCGGTCCGATCTCGTCCTCCTGGAGGAGGCTGTAGATGATCTGGTTGCGGACGTATTCCTTGTTGGCCTGGAACAGGTCGCTGGCGAGGAGCATCTGGGCACAGGTGATGATTTCATCCTGGGACTCGCAGAAGTGGTCGCGGAGGCGGGTGGTCAGTTCTACCCAGGTGCGCAGGGCATCGTCGATCGTTTCGTGGCTTTCGCACTTGCTCGAGACGCATTTTCCAAGTTCTGCAAACACATGGTGTCAGTCTGCTTCGATGCAGGCCAGTTTTCTCGGCGGCAGACGCGCGCCGCCATCCAAACTCACCAGTCCAGAGCTGTTCTTCATCCTCAGGAGAGAGAGGAGCGTCTTCGAAATCTGCCATAATCCTCGATTTTCTGTGGGCACAACCGCCAATGCATCGGGTCCTGCTGCCGAGGCTGGATCCGCAGTTGCTGCTATCGACGGGACGGGCGAGTTTACGCTGGATAGACGACGAGTCGACGGGCCAACTGACAATGGCTTCTTGGGGCAGTCGCAGGCGCAGGCGCAACGGTCATCTCCTGACACAGATGGGATAGATCGAGCTGCGAAAGGAAGTTCGTGTTCCAGAATCAAGGTGGCGGGGTCGGGATGGATTACTGTGGCCGACTGTCACTACAGCAGCCGTTGTGCCGTGACCTCATCTGGGGCCTGCTGAACGTTGGCTTGGCGGAACCACCTAACATCCATTCAGAGAATGATACACTGTCTGCGTGCGCTGAAATTCTTATTGGTGTGGCTAGTGAAGCTGCCGCACCGCCACACTTCTCTAGGCGCCGAATTCGGCATCACCAACACCACAGTGAATCAATCCAAGGACGATACAAATACTCATGAATCTCCCCGGGCTTCGTCCCCTAATGGTGCATTCAGCGCATGCGAGGGTATCAGACTGTCAATCAAATGTTCTATACCCTTCTTGGTGACCAAGAATACTCCCAAACGCCAAACCAAAAGACCGCACATGGCTACTCTCGTGTAAACCAACATGGTGTCGAGTAGCTCACTCTATGAACCTGGCCCCTTGTCCTTATCCATCTCTTCATCGTCGTCGTAGATCTTGACCTTGGCTGCATACTCGTTGATGTTGCTGATGACATTGTTTGTGATTGTGTCACCCTTCCCACCAGCCACCCGCAGCACCAGCTCGTTCAAGTTGTGTCGCCCCAGAATGTCGACGTGGTCAGCTGTCCGAGGCCCTCCTCGTGGGTTGAAACGTTCTGGTTCGTGAGGCATCTCGACTACCGTGACCTTGACCCCTGCTGGGTTGTAGCGCTTCATGTGCCAACCACGATTGCACATGTAGCCTGCGCTGATGAGATTTACTGTGCCGTCTCCCTCTCCCAAAATCACACCGTGGTCTACTTCACCATCAGTGTAGCCTGTGTCGATTGTGATGTTGAGATTTGTCATCAGAGGCAGGTCGGGGGATCGGTAGTAATACGCTCGCTCGGTGGGTTTGCCAACACCATAGAAGCAGTAGATCTTCAAGCTTGGTGCAAGAGGCAGCCGTGTTTCGAGAGGGTTGATCCATTTCTTGGGGTCCAACTCGTTGGCTTCAACCTCAGCGATGGTGTGAGCGACACCATGTGAATAGCTTCCCTTGATCTGGTCCTGATACCAGTCCTCAGTCGTGTTGAGCAGGTACGATAAGGAATCCTCAACTGTGAAGTTACGGTCAGGGGTTGTCCAGTTTGAGCCAGCCCTGAAGTTCAACAATGATCCATATGAAAAGTTCTGGCCAGGCAAGTCATCGGGCGCCCAGGTCAGGTTGCCCCAGATGGCTTCGCCGCCAAGGGGCAACATAGACGAGAGTCCCGGCATAGCGCGGAAGATCTCGGTTCTCTCCTCCTTGCTGAGGAACTTTTCCAGCCCATACATGGCAAATGGATTCAGCTGGGCTGTGTCTCGCATCTCACCAGAGAGGACGGCAGTCAGATCCTTGACTGCGCCGAGCATGCATCCACTGATGTTGATCCAGGAGTCGACGTGATGCTCAACCCAATCTTGACCACCACGGCCGCCTTGCTCTGACTGCACCCAATGGAAGAAGTAGTAGAGGACCTGACTCCCCATGCTGTGTGATGCGAGCACAACCTTTCTGTTATCAACGGCGACAGCGATTTCAATGTACGACTTGAGTCGGGTAAAGTATCGATCCCGAACTTCGAGATTAGGATAAGATAACCGCCAATCATAAGAGGCTGTGAAAGAGTTTGTTGGATCGTAACCGATAGAAGCAAGATTCTCAAAAATCTTGTTCCAGATCCAGTAACCGGTAATGAAGAAGTCAGTTGCATCAAATCCCTGGGCGGCGCGTAACTTGACCAAGGGTGGATCAAGACCAGTCCTCTTGTCGAGCATAACGTGCTTCTTCCAGACCTCCTTGTCCATGACAAGAGCCTTCATCATGGTCCAGCTGCCCCAGAGTCGCTTCCTGAAGTAGGGCCTCGAGATGTTGGCGGTTCCCCACGACTCGAGTCCAGTAGAAATGACACCCGGGATCATGATCATGGGGTGGTGCGCTTCCAGCCCCTCGGCGCGAGCCTTTGTGCCAACAGAAAAGGACTCATACGTCTCGGCAAACTCGCGCTCGCCTTGGATAAGATCGCGCATGTCCTTGACCAAGCCGGCGGGGAGCGCATCCAGCAGGCTGTCCATGGACAAGTCGGTGAACTCGGGAAACTCGATAAGGTCATTGCTTGAAGCGAAGAAGCCGGCAGCTATGATGCCGAACAAGCTACCAAGCAGGAAAATGAAGGTATTACGGCGCTTGCGGGTCTTCTGGACGACGTGCTCGACGACATGAACGTGGGTGGCTGGGTTAGGTGTAGGGCTATCATCCCTTGAGTTGTCGTCGCTCTCGGTGGCCTTGGTTTCTTGGACATTGCGACGTCGCAAAGTAGTCGCCATGTTGTCGAGTAGGGAGCGGGCCTCTTGAGAGGCACCGTCTGGTTCAATCTCTTGTGGATGAGCGAAATGAAGAGAAGAGAGCCTGGGAGAGCTGGTGTTTTAAGAATCGCACGTAGCTATGACGCCCATGTGGGCGCGTGCTTTAAAACAAAAACCGGGGGCCGCGAGGTCCGAAGGTACAATATTATCAGCAGCAGCTGTAAGGGAGCTTCGGATGAGACGATCGACACCAATAAAATACTCTGAAAGATATGGCCCCTGAATGATAAACGGACAAAGTCAATGGCAACGTGGTAACATTTGCGCCTCGTCGAGATTCGCTCTGGTCTTTCACATGAAAGGTCCGGGCAAAGAGACGAAAGACATGCTAGTCGTGCCTGATAGGCAGGCACCTGACGTCAAAGTCAAGGCATGAGGCAGGAGGCACGAGACTTCAAAGTCTTAAATTACAGGGGTTCCTGACGAGTCAAAGCTCTTCGGAAGCTCCCTTGCTCTGAGATGCGATGCTCCCTCCACCATCCATCACAGCCTGAAGCTTGGACAGCCTCCCTTCGCTTGGGGTTGTACTGCATCCAGAGTCGAGCCCAGACCCGGCCCGGTAGCTGTGGTCTTGGAGCAATCGGCCCTAAACGACCCCCGAAACCTCCGAATCGCCATTGGTTCCAGCGCTTACTGAGCGGATCGCCCACGCCGCCCCCACCCGCCATCCGCGCCGGACTCCGGTGCCATCAGCTGTGCCCGTGGCTTCAGGTCGGGTTGCATTCTGGGCTTGCCCCGCCCCCTCCACACTGTTGAGAGCTGAGAGAGCTCTTTTAGAGGGCCCAAAGAGGAGAAGCTAGGTGTTCTGTCCGCTGCAGAGTCCCCTGCCGTCTGCCAACTGCCCTGCGCGCCTTGCCCTCGTGGTCATGCACCAGAGGAATGCGGCTTGCTGCTGGCCGGCAACGTAGCCCACGCACGATGACATCCATCCACAATTGCCCTGCCTGCTGAGTCTGGGATGTCCACCAATGCCTTGTTTGTAAGAAATCGCCACCTCAGCCTGAACCCCCAAACCCTCAAATCTCGACCACCCTCCCACATGCTGTGACTCTTGCCGGCCTCTCAAGACTCACTCTTATTTACCCCTCCTCCGCAAGCACAGACCGATACCGGCTAAGCTCCATCCTTCTGCCCCTCACTAAAGACTTTGGATCTGGTCTCATTTCGACATCCGAGATCTCAACAACCTCAAGACAAGGACATCAACAAATTCCCGCTGCAGACTCACCGACCAAACAAGCACCGGTCTAATACCTCTTCTCCACCCAGAGACCCTTCTTTCCCATGGACCTTACCCAAATTGACAACCTTCCTGGCGAACTGCGCTACGTCCAATACGAACATGCTCTTGAGGCCCAATATCTACCCGCCATCCGCGCTCTCATCTCCAAGGACTTGAGTGAGCCCTACAGCATCTATGTCTACCGCTATTTTCTGTGCCAATGGGCACACCTCTGCTTCATGGTCAGACCTCTCTCCGCCCACGTTAATGGCTAGCTCTCTAACAATATTCTACAGGCGCTGAACCCCGTTGATTCATCTCTCATCGGCGTCATTATCTGCAAGCTGGAAATTCATGCTTCTCACTCCAACCCTACACGGCGGGGCTACATCGCCATGCTGGCTGTGGCCTCCGACTTCCGCGGCCATGGCATCGCCACGACTCTCGTCAAAAAGGCCATTGACGCCATGACCAAGCGCAACGCTGACGAGATTGTCCTCGAGACCGAGGAGACTAACGTCCCAGCCATGCGTCTGTATGAGCAGCTTGGCTTCCTGCGGTCTAAGAAATTGCACCGCTACTATCTCAACGGAAACAGCGCGTATCGACTTGTCTTGCCGCTCAAGTATATCGATCCTGACGCCAACCCGAATGATCTCGATATTCTCGACATGCACGCGTAGCATTTTACGAACTTATGAGTGCGATCTGTTTGCTTGTATTTGTACCATGCACTTTGTATGGCTCTTTGGCTCTGCTTGACACGGGCTCACACGGAAGCATTGGGGATCAGGTTGGCGCAGAATCAAGGATGGCATATCAGCGAAGCATAGGATCAGCTTCAGCGTCGTGACAGCTGGCGTTTGGTCTTTCTTGTTGGTTTTCACGATATTATGATTTTATGGATGTCTTTACGCAATGTACCCCGATTTTCAGAAAGTCCTGCCCTGGGTTTCATATCTCTGCTCCTCCTTCGCTCCCATATGAACCATCTGCTCAGCTCCTGAATATGTCATTTGAGCTATAGATGGTCGCTTTCAGGCCCCAAATGTTCCCAGAAGATATTCCGATGTAGGTGTACACATCTATGCATATGAGTAAGCTTCAACCTTGCAGCAGGCAACAGTGACTCACCTGGCTTGTAGTAGATTGGTCGCCCTCGAGCCTCTACCAGTCTGAGCTCCCTCAGCTTTTGGAGAACCCGGCCAACATCTGCCTTGTCTGCGAAATCGGTCGTGTACACGCAGATGAGTCGATCCCTGCGAGAATCCTCGTCGACAGGCTTGGGAGCAACCTTTGCGGCAATGCCGAGTTCGTTGTTGGCCGTTGCCTTGGCCACAATGTCCCATACATCGTTGACCTCTGCTGGAGGGCAAAAGAGCATCCACTAGATGTGTTAGAAAGGCCTAGGTGAGTGTTTCCCTGTCGACGTACCTTGCCTGCGCGGACTTTAGCGGCGTGTGCCAGACGCAGTATGTCCTCTGCCGCACTGTTCCTTTCCTTGTTGACCTCTCGCTCCTGTACCGATATGGGTATATTCCTTGGGATGCCTTGTATATACCTGGAGGCAATTTGGAGTCTCTCGTGCCCGCCCTCTATGACAAGGGCTGTTCTGCTTCCTTCTTCCTCGGGGGCCTCGTCCTCATTACCCTTGCTAAGCTGGTTCTGGGCCATGGCCTTTTCCATTCGCGGGATGTAGGGGTTGCAGATGAAGATCCAGGGGGTTTGTTCTGAGAGTTCTGTTGTCTTGGGAGGTAGTCGAACAAGAAACTCATCCACGGTTTCTGTGAGCTGCCATGCGTAGGGAACACCAGCATAAGGGTTGTGAAGATGGGAGGTGTCGCCGATGAGAGTGCTGCGAGGGACAGCCCGCCCGGGATTCTCTTGCTGCTGAAACATCCAGGCGTCGACGTCGAAGTCCTGGACACGTTGTTGGAGATTCATGACTGTTTCCTCGTCACCTAGATCAGGTAAGTTGATGTCTGATGGCTGAGAAGAGATGAGGTTACCATAGAAATCAGAATCATCCGAGATGTCCATCATGTCGGATTTATAGGAGTGGCCGGATAGGCAGACACGATGCTGCCTAAAGACTGCAGGGTCCAATAGCAGGTGAATAAAGATGCCCAGAGGCAGCCTAGTGTTTTCCCCTAGGAAGTGCCGGAAAGTGTGGAGTTGGCTTGAAAGGACCCTGAAAAATAGAGAGCAAAGAGAAGCAAGAGGATATCAGCGCTGAATGATGTTTAATGAGGCTGGCGGTGTTGATTGCGTGTTGACGTAGGTAAAGGAGGAGGCGCCTCTTGACAAGGAAGTCGCAGAAGCAAGTTCGCGTTTACTTATGACGGGGATAGAGACGCTAGGGAACCAGCAGTTGAAGGAGCTGTTTGAGGCTGGCAGCAAAGCACCAGCAAACAAACAAATTTTTGGAAGAAATGATCAATTGATAAGCTTGAGACGATAACAGTTTGATAGAGTCGATTTGAGCTTTACAAACCCCCCATGTCTTCGTACCGCGTCCCTTCAAACGCGAACCGGAGGAGCTTGACCAGCTCCGACCCCGGCAGACGGCAAGCCACCCGTTTGCCCCGCCGCGGATAGACTCCATCCGTTCGCCGTTGATTTGCTTTGCTCTGCTTTGACGAAAAACCTTGTCTCTTTTTTCGACATACCAAAGTACCAGCCTTTCGCTTACTCAAGGGAGGAGGGAATGGGAATAATGGACAACCTGAACCTTGTTTCCTCAAAGGTCTCGCTGACTTTGGACCTCCCACCCAGCTGTATTCAGTTCTGCCCCGCGCATCCAGAGTTCTTTGTCGTGGGCACATATAATCTTCAAAAGGACGATACGCAAGAGGCTCAAGAGGAAGATGATGAGTCTGTAGCTGCAGCCAAGACTCCTCAGAGTCGGAATGGCAGTTTGCTCGTTTTTAAGCTAAATGGTACGGAGCTGTAAGTGCTGCTCTGCCCCTGTCGACAAACAAGCTTACAATGGTCTAGTGACCTAGTTCAAACCGTCTCACAACCATCGGCCATATTGGATCTTCGATTTCACCCTTCTAAAGAATCTGGGAATATCTTAGCCGTGGTATCAAGCACAGGGACACTTGCAGTCTTCAAGTTGGACCCCACTCAGAATGCTTCATTGCCTCTGGAACACATTGCGACCAGCCGATGTGACGACATTGGAGAGGATGTCTTGTTCCTGCAATGCAACTGGCATCCTGTCATACCGAGATTGATAGGAGTCACTACCTCTACTAGTTCTGCGAGATTATTACGTCTGGACGACAAGTTTTGCACCACTGAGCAGTATACCGACCTGAATATCCCCAACTCTCTTGAGGCGTGGTGCATCGCCTTTTCTCCAGGGACAGCCGAGTCGGATCACGAAAAGGCCCAGGTGACGGCATACTGTGGCGGAGATGACTCCATGCTTCGCTATACATCATGCATCTGGGACACAAAGGACCCGGATTCACCTTGCGAGGAGCCTTATCTTCCCATGACGATCAAAGGAACTCATACTGCAGGCGTCACAGCGATCCTACCGCTTCCCCTGTTTGTGAAAGACCATGGAAGAGTGGTTGTGACGGGAAGTTATGACGACCACTTGCGCGTCTCCATCATCCACGATCTTCACGATACCTTTGGAATGAAGAGAGTTGAGCTAGTGCTGGAGGAGAACCTTGGAGGTGGAGTCTGGCGACTTGACTTGGTGAGTATCAAAGAAGGCCCAGGATCTATCAAAGTGCGGATCCTCGCATCATGCATGCACGCCGGTGCCAGATTGATAGATCTGGAGGTCAAAGAAGAGAAGGACTGGACTTGCACTGTGCTTGCAAGATTTCAAGAGCACAAGAGCATGAACTATGGGAGCGACTTTGTGCGGGAGGAGGGCGCTAGTGATGGGCTGCGGTGCGTGTCAACCAGCTTCTATGACAAGTTGCTTTGTCTATGGGAATATGTGCCGCAGTCATGAGGTTTATAAGATTAAGGATTGGCAAAAGCTCGTTCGCATATTCATTGGTGGTTGAGTGAGTGTGATAACAGACTGTTCTGCCACGTGCAAGAACAAGCTGTCAACCAGTCAGGTTTCAGTAGTGCATGAATTACCTCAGAATCAGCATCCTTGCATGCCAACCAATGCAATCACTGATTATCATATCTTGATTGTTCTAGATTCCTTTCAACCGTGTTTCACGGCGATGGATGAAATGCACGCCTAACAACCACAAGCCGGTGGACAAAATCAGTCATATGCGTGACGATCAAAAATGCCCCCTCACGGGGCGACGCGGGGTTGAAAATGGAGCCTGTTGGAGTCCAAGTCCCGTCTTGGATCGGGCTCGTCGTCCCATCGCTCTCAGCCTTGCAGCCTCTGAATCGCCCCCCCTGCAAGACAAACCTGAACCTGGAAACTGCCTGGAAGAAGGGGCGAAGGGGGCCCCAGGGAGCTGGGCCACAGGGACATGCATCTAGAAGCCGGCTGAGGGGCGGAAGAAAAAGACGATCACTCGTTGCTGAGGCTGGATGCACCACGTTGCAGGCAAGGCGGTGATGAGGACGCAAGGGGCGGAGATTAAAGATGAGGCAAACGATTGTGACACAGCTTTAATCTTTCTCTTGCATCCTTCATTCACTTCTCTCCCACTCATTCACGTTTCTTTGTTGCGCTGACCTTTGACCGTCATTCGCTCAGCTGTCCCTTGTATTTTGTCCAACCCCCCCTGCCGTGCCCCGCCGCCATTTTTAGGTCCAGCGCTGGACGGCCTGTCGCTTTCGGCTCTCTCACTCAACCTGAGCTTTTGAATTTTAGCCCAACACTTCTTCCTCTCTCCGGCAAAGCACCATCTATCGTGAAAGACATCTTTGGTCAGCAACTTTGATCACAGCCTCTTTCTCTCTCTTTTTACTACACATCGCCCTCGCTCTACGAGTTTGCTTCGAATCTGCATTGGCTTCTGTCATTTCTTGCGTCATTCACTCTGCTTTTGCTTGATTGCTTGCTTTTAATCATCTTGGTACCCCGTCCGTCTACATCCACTTCACTTCGGTTACCGTCGCAAACAGCCTCGAGCGGCGAGCAGCAAACAGCAAACAATCTCCTTCGACTGCCTCATGATCTCGGCCCGAATCAACCCGTGAATCTCCTTTAAAGGCCCTTTGCGTAGATCGCGCGCGCTCCCTCCTCTGCGCCTCGCTGCTTCCGTGTAGTGCATCGCAACCCGCCCATCCCATCGAGCGATCGACCGCCCGCCCGCGTATCGGCGACAAACGATAACGAGATGGAGGCCAACGGTAGCTCTCTGCCGTCGGCCGGAGCTGGCGGTGACTCTGAGGTTCTCACCAAGATACACCAGGCTCTCGAGGTCGTCCACAGCCCGTACTCGACCAACGATGCCCGTCGCCAGGCCCAGTCCTTCCTCGAGGAGGTCAAGGACATCCCCGAAGCCCCCATGCAAGGCTACAACCTCGCCTCGGACAAATCGCAGTCCCCCGTCGTCCGACACTACGCCCTCTCCCTTCTCGAGCATGCTATAAGATATCGCTGGACATCATACAACCAGGAGCAGGCAGACGCCGTGCGGCAATGGGTCCTGAACCTGGGTCAGGCTGTGTCAAGAGAGGACCCATCATACCTAAGGAACAAGACTGCCCAGCTCTGGGTTGAGATCGCCAAGCGATGCTGGGGCGCCGAGTGGATGGATATGGACGCCATGCTTTACCAGCTGTGGGAGATTCCTGACTCGTCGGTGCACAAAGAGCTCGTCATGTTTGTCCTCGAGAACCTCTCTGACGAGGTCTTTACGGGCGATGACTCAGTAGTTGCTCTCCGAGAAGGAGTACTCAGCAAGGCGTGCGTCGAGATCTTCACCCCCACCGCGGTACTGGTCGAAGCGTTTCCCAATCGACAACCTGGGCCACCCGTGCGACATGGTGATGATGGTTGGCTCACTCGCCTGTCCAGCTTCCTGGACTGGTGCCTCAATGCGGCGCCAAAGGAAAACGATGAAGTCAAGTCGTGCATACTCAAGGGATTTTCCGTGTTCTTGTCCCTGATGCCGTGGGCCATCCCGAAAGCAGTGTCTGCTGCTCGATGCGTTGAGGTTATGTGCGCTGGTCTCGCCTCGAGCCAGGTAGCTATCCAAAAGGTACAACAACACCACATGTTATCTAGAATGATGGGTGCTAACTGAGTCGCAGGCTGCCCTTGAAGCCCTGCACGCATTGTACTGCAGAACAAACTTCTCAGACAGCGAGTTCCGAGACTTGGTTGCCCCCATGTACAGTCGCGCATCCATCGAACTGTGTCAGCGCCTCTTTGAATGGTCGGCTGTAGACCCAGAAGATATTGATGAGGACAAATACCAAACCCTCAAGAAGCTATCCGAGGTATGTAAGATGGATATTAGCCTGGGCGCCCACTAACAGTCATTATAGATGCTCTCCTGCCTTGGAGACTACTTTCACCGAAAGTTCCCGAGCCTCCCCCCTGACGCTGCGAAGCCAGAATTCCTACAGCTCCTCGTCCAGGTGGTACAGCACCAGAGTTTGATGGTCTCGATCCCAGTCCTCGTAACTTGGACACGACTTCTCAGCATGCGCTCAATCGGTCCCAGTGAGCTTGTCTCTCCATTGATCGGACAACTTCTAGAGATCTGCAGCTCAAGACTGGTCCGATATGAGAACTTGCCTGAGGACACCCAAGAGCCGACATTCCTCTTCCTCATGGAGGATACCGATACGATCCCAGAACGACACGCTTTCCTTGGAAACTACCGCAGATACAGTTCCCAGGTCATCGAGGCCATCGTGCAGTTGAAGCTTGTCGACGCCATCTCACATATCCTCGGCCGCACAGAGGAACTGCTACAACATCTCTATGACGGACAGCCTCCTTTAGACAAACAGACGTACTTCAAGCATTCAATGCCGGTTCTGCGAGTTGATTCTCAATTTACGGTTATCGAGGCAACCCTCAAGGGTTATGCCAAGTGGCGCAAGAACCGCCCAGCAGAGCATCAACAACAGGGGCCAGAGCTGGAGGCGAATTTGGAGACCTGGTGCAACAAGCTACTGGAGATGAGCTTTGAGGACCCCATGATCCGGAAACGCACCTTGCAATTGCTCGTCTACTTTTCTACGACTGCGCTGAACAAGAACGCTACTTTTATGCTCAAGGTTTTGGAGCATATCTTGCTTACATGGCCCGCTCTTCAGCCAGAGTACCGTGCTTTCAATGACGCTATCAAAGATTTGCAAGGAGAGAGCATGGTAGAGTTGCAGAGGCTGGCGTCAGAAATGCCAGACCATCTTTTGGTGAGACACTCTCACAATCCTCCAGATGCGTGCTAACCTCTATCCCAGGGTGTTTATGATCAAATTGAGAACAGAGTGAACGAAATGATGTCATCAGGATCACTTGATGAGAAGCGCTCTATAGCGTACAAGAGCTTTCTCTTCATCATCATGTAAGTCGTCATGGAAACTGGGCGACCACTCCATGGCAAGACTGACAATGTTGCAGACACCGAGCCACGAGTGTGGATACTCAGGCCAAGATCCAAAAACTTCGCGAGTTCATTGATCCTGTCAAGGCACAGTGGCAAACCGAAAACGTGCGAACAGCTCTTAAATCGTACAGCAACTTTTGTGAGCTGCTTGGGTTGGACAAGGCTCAGAACTACCTGGCCAGCCGACGTGCCCATGAGATTTCTGACTGGGGTTCACGTGAGCTCGATGCAGAGGGTCTGGCACTTCAGGCCGAGCTTGAGGAGCGTTTGAAGCTTCTCCCACTTCGATCGACCAAGTCTTTCCTCGCATTTTCAGTCGAGCGGCTCGACAAGTCATCAGCCGCCTTCAAGGCGTCTTATGCCCTTTGGCAGGAAGGCTTCTCCAACATCCTGGCAGACCTCCTCGAGTTCCTGAGCTTTGCGCATGCCTCGCACAACCCGGATAACTGGGCAGGCTTGCCTCTCGAGATGCGACCCATGGTCAACCGAGTTCTGAGCGATCGATTTTGGCAGGCTGGCATCTCAGAAGGAAGCAAAGATGACTTTTACGCGCGAGTTATGGACAAGAAGAATACCATCGAGGGTCTTGCCTCGACGATCCGCGGGTCGGTTCGATTCGTCCGAGAAACTGCTTATGCCATCATCTACTGCATGAGCCGGCTGGAGAGGCAGTTCTACGGATTCGAGGGACTCTCGGCACCGCTATCCAAGGCTCTCTTTGCTGATTCGGTCTGGCTGTCTACGCACCAGCAGAGTAATCTTCTGAACCTGGTGCGGTACCTGGTTGACGATTGCCCTGTCGACTACCGGGAGCATTTCCTCCCACAACTCCTGGCGGCGTGCTTCCAGCAGATGGATGCCAAGATCAACGGCGAGTGGGACAAGATGGAGCGCCAGCAGCAGGTGGCTGCAGATGGCGAGGCGGGCTTGAAGGAAGAGATGAAGGCAGAGAGCATCCTACGCCAGGTGACATATACGGCAGTGCTTATGGTGGCTGACTTTTTGGACCCAACCAAGCTCAGTAAGTTGTCGTCTCGATGGGCCGCGGTCAACCAAACTAACTGTTTCTCAGACGGGCCCCTAATGGGATATTCAGAGACGGCAGGCGATGATGCAGAGCCTGAGCCTGAGTCTAACTATCCAACTCTTCGACGATTCTGCCTCACCCGCCAGCAGGTAGTGGAGCCGCTGCTCGTCTTTTGCACTCATGGCATTCGGATGCGAGATACACGCTGCTGCAGTATGATTCTGCGACTGTTCATCTCGCTAGTTCCCGAGTTCCATCTGGTGGATGGCCAAGTGCCCAAGTCGGTGGTGCAGAGCCCCCTTGACGGACAGCTAGCCGGGGATAAGTTCCCCATCCCTCCTTCGATCTCTAACGCTATCCGTGAATACATCTCACTGGATGTGCTCAAGGCGTGCATCACATCATTCCACGAGCCGTACTTTGTCGAGCTTCAGAAGGAGCTTGCCGCGCTGATCGCAGCCATCGTGGTCTTCTACAGCCCTATCACGACAACACCTAGAGATGTGCTACTATCGTTGCCTAATGTCGACCCGGCAGACCTAGATCGACTCTCGGCTTACATGGCCAAGCCTGCATCACACGCACGACAACAACGAGCGTTGGTGCTTGACCTTCTGAAGGACCTCAAGGGGGTTAGTGTTTCGGAGATGGGCAAGCTGCCCAAGAGCAGCGGGTTTGGAGGATCAAGTCGCAAGCGAAGCGGTCGAAGCAAGATGGCACAACAGTTCATGGTTGAGCCGCAGTCGGGGCCCGGGGCGACCAGAGCAGGAATGGAGGTGGCACGTAAGACGACGCCGGATGGACTGGAGGGGGTCTCCAATCTGTTTGAGGGATAGAGCCTGGATGATGAGCAGTAATTGGGGCCCCCAAGAGGACAGGGAGAAGTTACAAGGTGAGGAGGTTCGTAAAGGAGGAGAGAAACAGGGGCAGCCAGGTCGATTGCTTTTCCCGCCAGTCACTGACACTGTACGGCCGCGCGATTGGGAGTACTAACTAGAGGCGTCGAGGAGGACAGAACCATGAATTGGGATGGGTCATTGGGAGTACTTAGAGCGAGCATAGGTTAGGTTAGGGAATAGGACTTGGGGATGTTTCTTGATGAGATGGCGGTCAAACTTGATTCACATTTTCAGAAGTGATTATGACAGCTCAGGTTCATGTCCGGTCGATGAGGGCATCATGGGCTGGTTCATCTCAGCCATGAGTGTGCCGGGCCGGCCGGTGACAGGTACAACATGCCATGACGATCCCTCCTGCAAGACCCGCCGGCAACCTCTGGCCGTTCCGTTTCCGGGATAGCTAGGCAGGGTCCAGGTGCATCCAAGCCAAGCATTTAAGCCCCAAACTACATGTGACGTCGCCGTTCGTGGAGGGTGTCTCCGGGGAAGCAAGCCGGAGTGACCAGGGCCAACAACCTACAGATCAAGGGAGAAGGACTTGCATGCAAGTGGCGATGGGTAATAAAGCCCCGAGAGACAAAAGGAGGCTGTGAAAGGTCTAGCTCGATGGTGGCAACTGACAGAATGCAAGACGCTGGAATCAGGCAATTTTGTCAGGGTCAGGTGTTTTTTTTACTTGTTCTTATGCGAAACGAAAAAACCCGGGGACCGGAGCTTGGTGAGGCCAGCGACCGGGCCGTGAGTGGCACACCGGCACATATATTCCATTCATTCTCCGACCTTCTTTCTCCCGTTTGATCCTCTTTTTTCTCGATTCTGGACATGTAATTCCGGCATTTATACTAGACCGGCACATTGATATTGGTGACTTTTGTCCATTTTGTTCTGTCAGCTGCATACGCATCACTTCCATCATGCAGGGTCGAAATATGACGGCTCATGACCGGCATCCTTCGGCGTCACAGGCAAAGCCGCAGCCAAGAGTCAACAAAAGCCCCAGAAGAGCAACAAGAGCGTATGTACATCATTTAAATACTCTAGATCTACTCAAAACTCACATGTTTAGATGCGACGACTGCCGCCGTCTCAAGGAAAAATGCATCGGCACCGTCCCCTGCGACAGATGCAAGAAATCAGGCCGCTCATGTCAATTCAGCAACAGCTTCAGGAGAACCCGCGTTTCTCGTGCTGCATCCACAAGCAAGACTTGTCCTAGAAACCGCGCTGCTGCTGCTGATTCTTCTGCCTTTTTCGAGATTGAGAGGATTCAGGCGCTTGAGCAGATTGCTCGGTACTATACAGGGTTAGAGCAGTGCAGTTTGGAGAGTTTGAAAGAGGTTATTGGGAACTTTGCCCAAGATGAGGGAGGTTTGGATGTTGAGGTTGATGATGGGAGTAGTGATGGGAGGGAGGATGCTATGGATGCTCTGACACCGACTTCGAGCGGTAAGTGGTCATGATACGACTTTACTCTGGAGCATAAGCTGATATCATGCAAGTACATGCAGAATTCTCACATTCTGACTTTTCTCGGAGAGTACAGCAAAAAGTCAGGGATGAACTCGACGATCCCAACTACGAGGTACGTCCACGCAACTCCACCAAGGAACGAATATTAACATATCGATGATTCAGTGTCCAAGTCCAGAAACCGCAGTAGAAGAATTAAACCCTTCTACCCATCTTCTCTCTAGGGACGCCGTCGTTCTAGAAGCCGTGTCTCTCTTCCCACCTGCGCACTCGGCCCTCATCCTCCTCAACGTGTTTTTTGAATTTGCTCAGACAAACTACTTTTACGTCGACGAAGAAACACTTCGGCAGAGGTTGGATGAGTTTTACTCTTCATCTACACGGGTGGGTATCAATGATGCTCCTTGGGTCTGCACTGCTCTCATGGTGTTTGCCCTCGGGATGCAGTTTGCACACCTGTATCAGCCATCGTCGAGGAGCTCTTGTGGGGGTCTCATGAGGGAGGCTTACAGTGTCTGTCAGACAATGGACGATGCACTCGCGTTGACGTTTTACCGCAAGGCGTCTAACATGATTCCCGACATTCTTGCCATGGCTTCACTTGAAAGTATTCAGGCTTTTCTTCTTTTGGGTATCTATGTACTGCCTGTCGATCCTGCTGGCTTGTCCTGCACATACTTTGGAATCGCTATCAAAGTTGCTACGCAGAGCAATATGCATCATAAGAGCGGTGATGAACTGTCTGCGCGTGAAGCTGAGTTGAGAAAGAGGGTTTGGTGGACAGCATACACGCTGGAAAGGTACGTTATGTGTTGATTTATACTGCGACAGTAACTGATATTCAACAGACGGATCTGTATTCTTCACGGAAAACCAGTCTCGATCTCACGGCTAGACATTGACGCCAACCTACCGACTGATTTGATTGAGCTGCAGCCCAAGGAGAGGGTCAATCCTTTTCAAAACAATCTTGCCATGTTGAAGTTGACGATTTTCATGGAGGATGCGCGAGATGGAATGTGAGTTTCTTTCTTTTGAATATGGGCATTCAGGGACTAATCAACAGCAGACTGGCTTTGAAAAACAGCGACAAGACACAAAGAGTCAAAGCCTTCCAAAACATCATCAAGGTTAAGGAGAGGCTGCAGACCTACTGGCATAGTCTCCCCGACGAAACCTACTGCCGCGACCTCACCTCTGGAAGTCCCCTATTCCGGTCCAACATACACCTCGCCCTATCTTATCACCTCGTCCACATCTCTATCGGCCGGTCCTTTATCTTTGACGAGTCGAATATCAAAACAAAGGACGCAGAGTGGCTTGGGCTGCGCAAGGAGCTGGTCGATGATTGTGTTGCTAGCGCTGTTGCTGTCATTGACCTTTGTCAGATTCTCCAAGACAAGGGAAGTCTATCCAAGTCGTCATACACAGAGTTTAGCTCGTGTTGTGCCGCTGTCCTGGCTCTCGTAGCCAAGGCAGTATCCGACAAGAGCGGCCAGCTACAAGACGTCAGCAAAAGGGGCATGGAACTTCTACGAAACATGTCCACGGGCGTCTTTTCAACAAGTTGCGAGAAACGTGCCGTCGAGGGTCTCGAGGCAGCGTTTAACAGACTGAACCACAAAGAGGACGAGTCTGCCAAGTGCGACGAGGCTGGATACATGCAGTTCCGGAACTGGGTTGCCATGCAACAGATTCTCCCCGGAGAATCACTTCAACTGCCGAAGCAGGATAATCCCATGATGAATTTGTTTGGAGGGTCATCGGTTGGTAGTCAATATTCAGCCAAGACGAATGGATGTGTGTTGCCTGGGTATGCAGAGTTGAGTTCTCTGCCGGATCTTGGGGAATGGTTTGATCATGGGTTTGGGCAGGGCGTTTAATAAAGATGGTATGGGCTTCACGACTTTTATCACGACATTTATATGACGGCAGGCGTATTCTTATTTTTGGGGCGTTTTCTATCATTTAGGGTATCCTTATTATCGTCTCCTGGGTAGACTGTGAATCAGTGTCGCTCCTTCTCTTACTCTTAGCCTCGCGCTCCTCTTCTTCACTCTCGTTCCTCTTCTCTCTTTCATCTACTCTCTCTTTCTTTCATCCTCACCCCTTGCTCTCCCTCTTTCTTCTGCCAACACAGCTCACTTGCCGACACGATGGAGAGGATCCCAACAGAAGTCCTCGGGATGGTGGCTGAGCAGGTCCGAGTACCACAAACATGTCTATGAATGCATCATCTAACCAGGGATCATAGTTGCTCAATGATGACCTCAAGTCGTTTTCGCTAGTTTCCAAGCGTATTCATGCGGTCTCCGTCTGGTATCTACAGAACTTCGTCACCATCCGGTCTCCAGACGAGAACAAGCTCTATGAGGTTGACAGCAGCGAGTTAGTAGACTCGCGCATCCACCGCATATCCGAGCTTCGCTTTGCTGCGCCTTTTCAGATCGTTCAATACTTCCGGTGTCCAGATCGCGTTGGCGAAAATGAGAAAGAGATCGATTTTGCCAACGATAATGACGAATCAGAAGACAACTCTGCTGACGAAAATACGGAAGAGAACGGTTTTGACAACACCAATGAAGAACAAGAAGACGACTCTGCCGGCGAAATGCAAGGGCATGACTTGACAGGACCACTCGCCTTCGAACGTCTTAGCCAACGGGCAAGTTCCTACATGGGCAAGTTTGAACAGGACAGACTACAAAGTTTTCGGTGATGCCTCATACACCCCGAATCCTTTAGACAACTAGCTGACTATGAAAGTAGTTGGGATATGGGATGCTGTGTCCCTGAAACGATCCTTGGAAGAAATGGACTTCTCCCACGCATGCACCCGTCGCTCAAGTCTCTCAGGCTTATCACCGACCCTAACTGCGATTGCCATCAACCAGACCTTTCCACCTTCCGGAACCTCAAGAGTATCTGCTGGAAAGGGCCACAGAACAAGAGCCATCGCCTATTGGAGAAGGTCATCAAAAACAACGCCCATCATCTCGACAGCCTGGAGCTAGAGTTGCCGCAGGTGTGGAAGAAGCATCCTCCTTCATCTGTCTACGTTCGAAGACCACCAGGTGATGGCAACTCAGGCTACTTTGGTAACACTCTGAAGCTGCATCAACACATCACCCAGCCAGTATTTCAACAACTCACCTCACTTGTGCTCGTGCATGCACCTCTCGGGCCAGCTATGGTGGACATGATCAACTTTGAAGTCCTCCGATCACTAACTCTCAGACTGTGCCCGGGTTGGGAACCCTTCACCCAACGCATCGTGAAGATGGGATTCCCGGTAAAGTTGAAGACATTCGAGCTGCACCATGACTCCTCCGCCTCATTTGAATATAGACAGATTGAAGTTGACGAGCAGAATCCCAATATCAGCCGCATCACCGGCGAACCTAAACCTGGGCAATCTGAAGTGGAAGAGTTCATTGATGCTTGCCAAGGGCTTGAGGGGCTTTTTCTGAATCTCCCGAAGCCGGATCACGCCCGGTCACTCTGGGAACACATTGCTCGTCATGAAGCATCACTGAAACGCCTTGTGCTTCACCACAGGACACGCTATTTCAACCGGTCGGTTGATTACTGGAAGAAGGTTGACCTGCCGAGTCTAGGGCTGACCGAACACGGGAATGAGAACAGACAGTATCACCCACCCCCACAAAATCCCCTTGGGGAGCTCAAGCTCGAGTGTCTCAGCCTGTGTTGTTTTCCAGAGCTAGCAGTAAGAGGAATCCAGCACTTCAGTGAGTCAAACACTAATATGTTTAATAGAAATTCATGCTGGAAAGTTCGTTGAGCCTCCCTGCACTGAGTCTCCCTTCATTGAGCCTCTCTTCGTTGAAGCTCATCCACATCCGACAGACAGGCACCGACCTCCAGGTATTTGGCAGCATGGCTGTTGAGCTTGGCTTTCGCCTCGACACGTACGAATCGAACAACCGGGGCGAAGACTATGAGTATGACTTTGACATTCCCAACGTCAGAGACCTTACCAGGATCGAGGAGGCTCCCGATCCTAGAGATCTGCAGGATACCTTTCAGTCACTTGTGAAGTGGGCATTCGGACCAAGGGGACCTCCGATGCTCGAGGCGGTTGCCTATGGAGACTTTGCTCATGAGGGTCGAGCCAATCCGGAGAATCTTATCGTCTGCTCCAGCCCAGGAGGGTTTCGAGTAGTACCCAGAGACGGCTACGAGTGGATGAGCGTAGTTGAAAAGTACCGTAATGTGCTGGAGGCTTGTCCATCGAAGCCGCTGCTCAGGCCAGGCTACGAGTGGATGTGGGACGACGATGAGTGATGGGTTATGTTCTCAGTTGATTTTCTACTCGGGAGACCTATGGCTCAACAACTAACCGGTGGTTGTCATCAGGGGTTTCATCACAGAGATCTACAAGAGATCTACGCGCAGCGGCTCGAGGAGAGCGATTCACATGGAGGTCACGACCCCGCTTGTGCCGGTGTCATTGGGAGGGCGTCGGAGGTGAAGGACCGGCACAAAGTCACCGGCAACGCTAGTTGACCGGCATCGTCAACTCGGAAATGGAATTTGGACTTTATTTGGAAGTATATTTGCTGAATTCATTGCTGAAATTGGAATTGATTCAACGTTTTGACTTGTGGTGCTTGAGTGACTGACAATGGAACCCCAACAAGCTGATCACCTCCCAACTCTCAGACCCCTTGGTGAGCAACTCACAGCCTTGCGGCACACCATACCATCATCTAACATGAATCTGGGATTTAGGGCTTGCAGAGCAGTACTCGACTGCGCGTAGCCATCTTGGCATCTACGCCAACGTCTGCGTGACGGTGACCTATTCTAACCGCCATGGGAAAAACCTACAAGATGCGCTTTATCGCAGTGTGGCTGCTATCATAGCGAAGCATCCCATCCTGTCTGCGGTGCCTGTAGACACGACGACTATACCACGATTCGTCCGTTTACCTCTTCTCAATCTCAAGGAAGTTGTTACATTCATCGAGAAGCCGGGTTATACACCTGGCGCAACTTCAGATCTTACCCTAGACGAATTGGTCCAAAACCAACACAACCACCCTTTCCGGCAGGACAACTTGTCGGTTCCTTTCTGGAGAATCACTATTCTCAGAAATCCTGACGATTCTTCTTGGTTCTCACTGTGTTTCTGCTTTCATCATTCGTTGCTGGATACACAGAGCGCAGTCATCATCCACCAAGACCTCGAGTTCGCTCTAGCCTCCAATGACAAGGGCGCGACTACAGAGACGGTAGAAGGACCTCGGCAGATATTGCTCCCTCCTGTGGAGTCAATGATTGATCTTCCAACTTCTCCTGACTTTGTCCATGCCCAGCAAAGCCTCGGCGAGCCACCCAAGGATTGGTGGAGCGGAAAACCGCAAACTCTCCCTGTCCAAACGAGATTCTCTTCCGTTTGGATCCCCTCAGCTTCATTTACTTCTCTTAGACGAAAATGCAAGGAGCAAGGCGTCACGTTGACAGCAGCCCTCATGTCGCTGATCGCCGGCGCCTTCTTCCGCATCCTCCCACCAGAATACAGCATTGTCCAAGGAGACTGTGCCGTCTCGCTCCGGCGCTTTTTACCGGATTACATAGACCAACGCTCGGCTGGATGCTACGTCGGGTCCCTGAGCGAGGTCTATAGCAGAGAATCCCAGTCTATATGGAAGGACGCCAAGCGCACGAAGAAGACCATCGACGAAACCCTGCAATTAAGAGGCGCCGATATGCCGGTAGGATACCTAAAGCATATACCGGATATATTTGGGTGGCTATCTGGCAAGATTGGGAAGAGACGATGGGCTGCGTGGGAGTTGAGCAACGTTGGAGGGTTTGACGATGCGCCTGGCTTGAAGGTTGAGGATCGTCAGATTCAGAGCGTCATGTTTAGTCAGAGTGCGAGTGCCTGCTCAGGAGCTGTTAAAGTCAGTGCGGCATCGGGGAGGGATGGGAAACTTGGGTTGGGGTTTACGTGGCAGGAGGGGATTGTGGGCGATGAAGTGGTGAAGGGGCTGATTGAGAGCCTCGTTGATCTAATCCAGGAGATTACTTCTTAAAGCCACTGTTAATAGGTAGAAATGGACGGTGTGGCTAGTAGGTTACTGAGTATCAAGTAGCAAAGAGGAAATTGAAGTAATAGAATGAACTTGACTAGAGTATCATCAATGAGGCCCAGATACACAAAGAGTGGCGTGAAAGGAGGGGAATGCGAGCGATAAATGTGAGCTCTGGGCTACGTAAAGAAGGATATGGCTATAAGATGAGATATAGAACACTATGTCTACGCATCTTAGGTCAATAGCCTGTCAATAGCAGAGTTATCGGGCAATGTTATCAAAGTCTCAGTCACGCGCGTTACCAAGGGCAGTATACAGTCAACATGTATGAATTGATCCCTTATCATCTATTTACCAGCAAGCTCCTTGTCTAGCGCATCTGCCATATCCCCAAGCGTATCAAACCTCCAGTTATACACAGGATTCTCTCGGTTACCCATGACGGCCCCAGGTCTCTCAATCCAGCTCGACTTGATGTCCATCTTCTTGGCTGGTTGGTGGTCGTGGAACTGGCTCTGCGCCGTCTGCAGCACCTGTGCCTTGGGAATGCCGAACTTGGCCTCGGCCTCGCGCAGCATGTACTCAAAGTTGCGCAGATCGGGCTTGTAGCTGCCCACATCCTGCGCCGTGATGATCAGGTCAAAGGGGACGCCTTGGAGGGGACCCGAGTTGCTGCCCGAGAAGGACTCGCGGTCGACGTTGGACAACACCACGAGCTTATAGTGCTTCCCGAGTCGTCGAAGCGCCTCGACCGTGTCCGGGAACGCGGGCCAGGTACCGATAGAGTCGCCAAAGGCCTTGTCCTGCTCAGCGCTGGGCTTGGGGAGGCTGAGACGCTCGGCGATCTGCGGGTGAATCGTGGTGAGAAGCTCCGAGTACTTCATGTCGGGCGTCTTCACCTGCTGGGCGACCTCCAGCTCGTGGTGGATGGTGAGGAGGTGCTCCCGCGAAAAGGAGGCATTGTTGGCTTCGAGCAGAGGCTTGAGACCATTGAGAACACCGGTCTCCCAGTCGATGAGGGTGCCATAGACATCAAAGGAGAGAAGGCGGAAGTCTGATAGACGGCTCATTGTGACGACTTTGCGGGGTCGATTGGAGTGTGCAATTAAGTGATAATGAGATGATTTGAGATCAAGTTATGGTCCGACAAAAGCAATCTATGTAGATGCAATATATACTGAGAGCACGCCCTGCAGTTGACAAGAGTCCGGAGAGGAGAAGTTCACGTGCAGAGCCCGGAGGTGAGACATTCCGGTGCCGGTCGACATGTCCGAATGGGGAACCGGCCGGCACGCACCGAATGTGGGGTAACAGGTGCCGGGATCAGATACGGGGAGCCGGTTGGTGATGCCGGCAGCGTCAAATTCAACACCACCGGAACACGATCTGGATATTAGATTTTGATTCTGGTATATTCCATGGTCTGGGAATACTCCGAGGGGCTGTCTTTGGAGCTGGCAGTAGACGGCCAGAAAATAAGTTGGCTATAGTCTTGCACCCTCAGTGTCGAGCCGGCTGTGCTTCAAGTTGTATCAATCTTCGATATGGAACCATCTCAACACAGAGATTGGGTACCGATACCACGAGAATTAGTGAGTGTGTTTAGGGAAAAATGAAACAGTCGTTAGGCTTGGGACACTTCTCTACGCCAAAGGGTCAGGACGGAACACACCAACTTACATGCTTTATCAATTTCCAACTGTTACTTCAACAGGGGTGGAAATCTGCTTATCTCCTCACATGAGATTCTCGTCGCTCTGCCGTCATGTCCTAGCTGCCTCCTCCATAGCTTCAAGATTTAGCAACTGGAGCAAGCAACAGCTAGATCCTCGATACGATAGCGAATACCACTGTGTACGAGCTTGCGGTTGGTATACGCGGTTGTGAGCAGCGCCATCGCAGGCAGAGCAAAGGTCTATTCGTTTCTCAAACGCGACGCGGTCTGGAGAGAAATCTGGGAAACGCTGCAGCCCAACTCGACAGGGCATTGTCGAGCCCGACTGGTGAGCTCGAAAGGGGCTGAGTATTTGAGAAGCTCTCAGGAGGTATCATTTCGTCTGTTGCTACCTCAGCGTGGAGGCTACTGTATTACCTGGCCAGCGCCAGCCCCGTACGGAAACCTCAAGAGATCGAGATCATCTTAGGTAGCTCCACAAGGGTGCTCAACCAGGAGATGCAACTCCTGACGGCAGTTTAGCTCGTAGGAAATATCGTAAATATCCGTTACCGTGATGTTACCTGAGGCAACCTTCAAGTGCAAAATGCTCTGAATGAAGGATGCATAAGGAGGGTGACAGTGCAGACCAGGAGCTGAGATGACCATCCCCTGCGAGGCCAACCATTTCCCACTCGGCACGAATAGACCTCACCTTGATCGCGTCAGCACCCTCAACAAAAGACTGCTCGCGCTCGGCATCGATAGCACTGCCGAGTAGATAGCCCCCCACGGCCCTGGCACCGAGGGATCCGAGGACGGAGCCACAGACGCCGTTGCCGCCATCGAGCAGCCTCTTGTGTCGAATAGGACCCTGGCCGAGTCGATCATCAGGTGATTTTGGCGTCCGGGTACGAGTAACCCAAAAGAGGCCATCCACGATCTGCAAGGTCTCTGGACTTCTGCATCTCGACGCTTCCTCCTGACTTGATAAGCATAAAGAACCAGATATTGTCAGGGTTCCTATGACTCGTAACAGCCTTAGCACCGTCACAAAGGTGCAGAAAGAGTCTCGTAAAGGTGGGTACAGAATTAGGAAGCCCCCTTGGGGCGGTAGCTTGGAAGCCAAGATCAAGAGCTCGGCCCTTTGGCGTTGTATTGTAAACACGCCGTCTTGTCGGAACGGGCCTCGAGGCATTAGCAGCTCAGTCAGATCCATCTGTGACCAAAGCAACATGTCTGTGATATATCATCAAGATCCATTGCTTGTCAGTTGTGACATTGGTTCCGTCAAACTGGCTGGCTGGGTCCGGATTTACGGATAAGTGACGCTGGGGGATCTTCAAGCAGCGCCTCATCAAAGGCAGTGAGTGCATGGATTAGCTTGGAATTGCAAGGTGGTGTTGGGATGTCAGCGAAGAGTGTCACCGTTGAGACCCAGTGAACAAAGCTCTGCTGGTCGACAAATCGGCTCGTGCCCATTTCAACGGCGCAGACCCAATCTGTCGCTTGTGGGTTTGGTTATCAAATCACAAAACCTTTGCCGTTTGCTCAAAGGCTCGGTGGTTGGGGAGCAATTTTCAATGCCAAGGGCTGAGGCATGACCAGCAAGTACTAGCACTTGGAAGCATTGACTTGCCCACTGATAACCACCAATCCTTCTACTGGAACCAGTTGCTTCTTGTTGCTGCCTCTAGTTGACGATTATCACGAGGCGCACGAGTTTGGCGGGTGAGAAATGCGTCGTCTCGATATTGAAGCAAAATATCGATAGTGCCCTCCCTCAGCCAGTGACCTGCAAGCGGGCGGTCACACACCGGGCCAGCCTGTCAGCGGCCTAACTCCGCGCCATTGGGCCTCGGCAGGGAATACTGTGCGGTTGAGATTGCTCGACTCATGCGACTGAGCATGACAAGAGCAGCAGGGTTCAGAGGGAAGTCATGACAGAGCCAGGATCTTTACAGAAACGCCAGAGCTGCATCAGCTGGCGTCAAATCTTGACCCAGAACAGTTGAGCAACGCGCAACTCGGAGAATATGCGGGGATGCTAATTTCCCTTCCGGCGGATCCTGTGGAGACCAGAGAGGCGCTCGAAACGAGGGCGGCGATCATCAGGCACAAATGTTTCTAAAATAGTGCGCCTTCTGGTTGTCCATGTCCGTGGGAAGCATGTTGGCGGAAGATGCCGTGGATGGAGGCTTACAAACCTTCCAAGCCTGCGTTTCTGGAGTGCAGATGGGAATCGCGGGCGCGGGAATGCCAGGGGCAACAAGCAGTTGGACGCATGTCTTGAACTGAGACGCCAGACTGCCTGGGGAGACACGCTTTGAATATGGACGCACGCCACCGCCCCAGCTATGTGCTTGCGAGCGCATGCGGGCGTGGCGGAAACCAGGCATTTGTATGGCTGGCCCGGCTGTTGTTGGTTTGCATAGTCCATCGTCCGGTGTTGAAGGAATGTGGGCTTGGGGTTTGTTGGTCTGAGATAGATGGGACATGGGAAAGCTTGTGCCCTCTGCGCTGATTTACAGATGAGGAGCAGAGGGGAAGCCTGGAAAGGTGTCATAGGGTCGGCAGATGGACCTCTCGAGCCCTGAAAGGTTTAGAGGGTCGATAAATGTCTAAGACTGAGAAACGGAACAGAGCGGATCGATGATGTGAAACCTTCAACGGCGACGAGGCGTCGACGACCGAGACAGTTGGACCCCTGGATATCTCAACTCAGTTAGCCGCAATTACCAAAACAAGCAGCCATCAGGCGACTTTGGCAGACCCTAACAAAGAGGCGTCGCGTACTAGGCCAGATGGATGCTCGCTCGGATGCTGCGTTCGGGATGTCCTCACGTCAAGGAGGGAACAAAGAAAGCCCCCGGTCCACCATCCGAGAGACCCCGGAAAGCGGGCCAGCCCTATCGGTCCTGAGTTATTCGTCTGGTGCCTTTTGTTTCCTGTCAGGTCTGCCTGGCTACCGGGTTCAGGGACGACTGCCGGAGATCAATCAATCTTTTTTGTCGATGCAGCATGTACCGTACCGTACACACCGTAGTCATGCGGATTCGGGACCGCAGCCGCGAAAGGCACGTTCCCCGGGAGTCTCTCGTCCCTTGTTCCTTGGAGGATGGGGATAAGGGTCGCAGAATAGAGAAGTCTGGCCGAGGGAAGCGCCTCGCACTGTGTCGATACGGTGGCCTATCGGTGTTTGAAAAAGGTAGGAGACCTGGTCGGCCAAGCTAATGCAAAGGAAGCTTGATAGAGGAGTCCCGTGACCTGGAGTATGATACCCATCCGTATCTTGGGAAGGTGCGTATCATCAGTCGGAAGTCATAGAGGCCGAGTTATGAATTGTGCAAAAAGCACTGATCTTTTGTGAGGCTGCCGTACTTCCTATTTGGGACTCTGGGTCGACAGGGAAGTCGACTAGTGCAGTTGTCTCTTACGACTAACTTTCTCCTGTCAACAACCCAACACTTGACTCCGATATAGCAACTGCAGATGCCAATGCGAGCAATCACTTGCATCTCGTCCGAGCTGTTTTAGCCTCACGTTTCAAGGCGTCGTCACCCGACATGCAGCCGAGCCGTCCGTCTTCGGCCGGCAGTCTCTCGCCTCCTTTCAAGTCCGTCCATCCATCGTCTCCATCATCCCCAGAGCTCAAGCTTCTGTCGTCTATCCTTGTCATGGACCCAAACAATCCTGGCGGCCCATCAGTGGCCCATGCGCCTGGCCATACCTACATCAGTCGTGCCAAGGTCTCATCGCCGAGGCCGCGACGACTCAGGCACAGGCTAAACACGGTGCACTAGACCCTTGGCATACCGTGTCGAGACCGGGACAGGACCTCCTCGGAACTAGCAGCTGGGCACTAGACCTCGATGCTGGACGGACATGGTTCCAAGCTTCCCTCCACCAGGGGACCCCCGGGCACCCAAAACGGTCTGCCAGGCCCTGTAACGCCCCTGCAAGCCCGCCCAAGCCCCAGCCTCCCATGGATGGAGCCCGGGCCAGGCCAGGATGGGCAAGACGAGACACCTTCGACAGCGGACGCCTCGTGGCTTGCTCGTTGCATCACGACGACGGGGACGGTTTCCCGCGTCCCGCTTCCCGTTCTCTCGCTTCAACCACGAACCAACTCTCTGCTTCTCCTGCTGCTCACCAAGACCTACATCTATTACTTCTCGTCGCCCCCCCTCTGTCGGAGAGTTGGTTCATCCTGGAAACCGCTGACATCCATCCATCCATCGTCGACCGTTGAGAGCGGGGCCTCACCTAGCTGCATCGCATCGCATATCCTTCGCCTCGCCTAGCATCCTTCAAGACGTGACAAGAAGGAAAAAGCAATTCTTGATCCTCTCGGTCACTCGCTCTCGGCATTCGCTCGCACACCACACGGCACAGCACGACACAGAGAGGCACACGACGACTGCCATTGACGGATCAGCAAACTCAACTTTCACAAGCTTGGCCTGTCTCATCACTGTCATCACCTCCGCCCCCTTGTCCTCCCCTCCATCTCCCACTCTAGGTTCCACCACGAACCCGCTGTCGTCTGTCTAGCCCCCAGTCCGTGTAAGGCGAAGCAAACATATCCATCATCGTCACTCCTCTTGTGTTAAAGTGCCTGGACATCTCTGCTTCCCATCTTCCCCTTCCTCTTCTCTACTCTCGTTATCAGGGCCGCTCTCCCACTTATATACTGAGACAACTCTTTGATACCATCGCAACAAACTCCCCTCTGGGCTTCTGAAGCCACTTGCGAGTCAGCGCTTGTGTCAAGTTGTTATCCTTCGTCTCTGATAGCCGAAGCTCCCGCTCTTTTCCTAGACTGATTCGACTTCTTCCTCAGCCTCTTTGGCGCTGACGACGACGACGATCAGTCGGCTCGTGCTTCAACTATCGGCCGCCATCGCAGTATCAATCAATCTCGCTACTTGAACCAACTCACGGCTGGCCGTCTTTCCTGTTAGGGACCTCGCTCTCTCTGACCCCGTATGCAACCTCGCGTCTTCGTGCGCCCATCCCCGTGGTTCTCGTCTACTCTGTCCTCCCAGGAGGCCGTTGGACAGCCAGTCCTTTCACAGTAACCGACTTCAATCCCGCCCCTTCTCTGTCGCCAGCTTTGCACCTTTCAGCACCTCTGCCAACTGTGCCGTGATCTCTTTTTGAACCACGCCTTGGTCCTCATCACCAACTCTTGCCATGGTTTATTGTGGCAAGCCCTCGAGGGGCTGCCAGATGTGCAGGGCCCGCAGAATCAAGGTATGTTTGGTCCTTGCCGTTTCTCTGCAGACAATGTTTGCTTGAGCCAACCCTCGCCATCCTCCTGGAGGCTCTTCTGATGCACCGACTCACCCCTCACAGTGCGATGAGACGAAACCGACCTGCAACCAATGCGCCAAATCGAGGAGACAATGCCCGGGCTACAAAGATGAGTTCGATCTCGTCTTCCGCAACGAGACCCAAGCCACCGAGAGGCGGGCTCGAAAGGCCAACAAGAAGGCCATGGCTCAGAAGCAGGGCAAGGCCACTAGTTCTCGGGATGCCCCCAAAACCTCGACCACCACCAAGCCGAGTCCTGACCAGTCCATCATAACCACACTCCAGCTCCCCGTGGACCAGCAGGCTACGTGTCACTTCTTGTCCAACTTTGTTCTTCTCCCTTCCCACGACAGCACCCGAGGATGGATGGAGTTTGTCGTCCCGCTACTCAAGTCCGAGAAGCCCGCTCCTCATTTCAAACTAGCATTTGACGCCTGCGCCGTCGCCTCTCTCGGAAACCGCGTGGGACCTGGGAGCAATTTCGAGAGCGAAGCTCTCGGTTATTACACTAAAGCCCTCGCCGCTACATTCACCGCCCTGAAGGACCCCGAGGCACGCAAGGAGGATTCTACACTGGCTGCCGTTCTCTTGCTGGGGTTGTTTGAGAATATTACCGCGAAGCAGTTGGGCATGCTGGCATGGGGCTCTCACATCGAAGGAGCCATTCAGCTGGTCAAGGCCAGAGACAAGAAGCAGTCCCGAACCAAGACAGGGTTGGCACTTTTTGTAGCCACAAGGACGCAAATGGTAACTTGGATGCTTATCGCCCCCTCTTTGAAAGGTTGTTAACCAGCCCCTTAGATTATCCACACGTTGAGCACAGGCAAGGCTCCTATCATGGGCGTCGAGTGGTGGATCACAGACGGCATCAAGAACCGATACGGAGCCGAGTGTCAGCGACTCAACATCCGGACAGCAGAGCTCAGGGCTGAGGTCAACCGCTTGATGACAACCCTGTCTCGGAGCCCCGAGAACGTGGAGCTGCTGCTGGACATGATCCGGCGCTGCCAGACTCTGGATCAGCACCATGTCACCTGGATCAACGAACTTCCCGAGTACTTCAGATTCAAGGCTGTTGCTTGGGAGGATCATGTCCCTAATGGCAACTATGCCCTGGCGGAGGTGTTCCCGGGACGAGTGGACGCATACCAAGACCTGTGGGTCGTCAGCGTTTGGAATCTTATGCGATGCTCCCGGATCATCCTGGCATCGCTGATCGTGCGCTGTGCCGCGTGGGTATGCGCGCCCGTGGATTATCGAACGACGCCCGAGTACGCGACAGCGGCCAGGGCCTGTGTCGACATGATCACGGACATCATCGCTTCGGTCCCCTACCAGCTCGGTTGGTTCTCCAAGCGCAAGGAGCTCCTCGAGCGGGCCAACCTGTCTGCGTTTGGCTGCGGAGAGGAGGATGCCCTCAAGGGACTGCCGGGATACTTCCTTACATGGCCCCTGACATGCGTCCAGGGTCAGGACTACACGACCGACGCTCAGAGGGCATGGGTCAAGGGTCGACTACAGTTCATTGGCAACCAGCTCGGGGTGAGATATGCCAATATTCTCAATCAGGTAAGAGACCCTCGTCGATCCTTTTTTAACCTCAGAACTTTGTTTTTTCCTTTCCATATTTCTTCTTTCCGCCCTATCTTCGGCGTATTTTCTTTTTTGTCTTTACTTTTTTGTTTGAACTTCAGGCTGACAAGTTCGGCAACTCTCTAGCTCAACCTCCGAGTCCCATCCATGCTCATCCGCCGGGATGGTCTCATGGCTAACCCCTACCCGATGGCGCATAACTTTGAGAAGCTGCTATCGGCGAGGTCGGCCCCGCCCTCGGCTGGGTATTCCATGAACCCCATCCAGCAGCGGGAGGCGATGCACAAGGAGCAGGTGGAGCGGGAGAAGACTGAGCTGCTTACAAAGGCCATGGGGAGCTTGGATAAGCTCGACGAGACGGTGGCTGACGGGTTCCTGCATCTGAAGAGTGGTGCAGCACTGAAGGGTGGTTCATCCGCGCCGCGTAAACAGTAATCTGGGTTCTGCTGGCTGGTCCTGGCTCTTCCACAACAGTATCATGTGGCCCATATCATATTAGGCCTTCTAGTTGCTGTTGCTGATTATTCACGATCTTAGCAGTCATGTACAGTTATTGGCATTTGGTCTCAAGACACGACTTTGAAGGAAGCTTTGGGCTGGAGCCAGCAAGGACTTGGTGGGGAAAGTAAGGGAGTTTTCGCACGGCATTCTGGCCATGTTGCGTTTGGGTATTGGCGTTCAAAAATGACCCCCCTTCTTCATACCGATCTGTCTTGCACATTGATGCTGTGATACCCCATGACCGTTAGAGAGGCATGACGTAGGTAGCTCGAGACACTCGGCTGGGGTGTGTAAATCGTGCACATGAATCGTCAAATTGGTCGTCAAATGTACTGTTGTCGATTCTCGGCCGGCCATGATTGTACATGTGAAAAAAGCATATCGAACAAAAACCCGCGGGACGAAGCCCAGCCCAGCACCCGATGTGTTGAAAAGCATTTGCAGTTATTCCCAAACGACTCCACCGTCCGTCGTATTAGTCCCGTACTCGGATATCTGACAGATTAGATTGCCGGAACTGTTCCTTGACATCCATTGAATCCCCGTCGTTACTGTGTTGGATCGAGATGCCGTGATTTTCGTATGGAATATTCGCATCGTGGGTGGAAATGGTATAAGTGGTATAAAACGATCGATCCTCACTTTTGCTTCTTACTGTTCATGATGTCAGCCAAAAACTCAAAAAAGTAGACCACCCTCCGCATGCGGACAGGTCTCGGTCCCAGCAGCCCGGTTCGGCGCACCTCTGATCGTCTTTGCCCCCGGTGGTGCCCAGGTTCCAGGCCTTGACGACCCAGCTCTGGGTGGCGTCGACGTAGTTCTCCGTCTTGATCTGCTTGACTCCGACCTTGACGCCGTCCTTTGTGAAGACGACGTTCTTCTTGCCCATGCGCTCCGACGCGGCGTCCTGTATCTTGGTGACGCTGATGTAGACCTGGTAGCCGACCCAACCACCGACGCCTAGAAGGGCGAAGACAATGAGGAGAGGGAGGACCTGGCTGCGAAATGGGGTCAGCGCGATCGCGACTGGGAAGACAGTAGGACAGAGTGGCGTACCTGAGGGTTGAAGGTTGCTTGGCCATGATTGCGAATTCTTTGGGTGGAGAGTGTAGCTTTCTTTTTTTCGCGCTTCGTGATCGTTGCAAAGTCTAAGCTTCGTCAAGGAGAGAAATCGAAACCGTGCGATTAAAAGCCGTCGAGAGGGGGGGAGAGGAAGAAGAGTAGTCGTCGCAGCGATCAACGCGGTGAAGAGACGAGGTTTATTGTTTGCAAGAAGAAAAGAGGCCGCCGAAAGGGGTCGCGCAGAAGATGGGGGGGAGGAGAAGAAAAAAGAGGGCTTGAGGGGAGGGGAGCTGAAGGGGAAGGGATGGAGAAGCATGTGGTAGCTGTATGTACAGCCACTGCCTCCCTTGGCCGTTCGTGATGAAAAAAGGGTCCAGTTCTGGCCAAGTCCTGCAGAGGACAAGGGGCGGCTCCAGCTCTTGTGGAGGGGGGCTACCCACCTGTAACCTTAGTGGGCGATGCGCTAGAACGTAGGGGGTTAATGGCCCTGTTGATGTTACGATCCGTCGGATGGAACCTTGGAATTTGAGATGATTGACAGAATACTCGAGGACTGGGAGAAGCCATCATGAGATCAGAAATAGGTGAATAGATAGTGCAATTGAGCCCGTTCAAAGACGAGACATGATTCTTAATCACAATGTGAAGCTCCATGTTAAGTGGCTTCATGTCACCGTCGATGTTCATTAAACCACCTGCAGATTTAATGCGAAACCGCGGTGTAAGGTGTTTTCCTTCAGCCCTCCTGGATGGATTTGCCGGCTGAGCCACTCGGCCCGCAGCGACGGGTGCCGTGCGATCCATCCATGGATGGAGGGGGGCTGTGCCTCGCCTAGAAAGATGGGATGGAAATTCGTCTGGACGGATACGGAAATGGATGTCTTGTCTTTGCTTACCTCTCTCGCTTGTCATCCAACCTCGTGGCACCCTGGGGAGAAGCATCACGGGGAACTTAAAGAGATTTGGTGGCTGTTGACTCTTTCAGCCAAAGTTTCACCATGGCCGAGATCTCGAACACTCGCTGTTCGCTTTGGTTGGTGTACAGGTGGCTGTGCTGTGCTGCGTTGCGCTTGTGCAGCTTGCATGTTATGCAGCTGTCGGTCATGGGCCTGGAGTGTTTAGCTCATGTCTGTCATGTTCAACATGGATACTTTTCAATTGAACACATGACATATTGAACTCGGGTTGAGAGGAGACAAGGTTCGTTTCCACACTCAACACGGCTCAGCTTGAGCTGAGGCAGTACTGAGTATAGGCTCTATCGTCTAGATATCAACCTCGAATAGGGTGAGTTGAGTCTGGTTAGCACTACGGCATGTCTCAACGTAGGGATCCTCTCTACAGTCCGATACAGTATTGCGAATGCCCTCATATGGGTGTCTCTAGGAATTCTCGACTCGGGACTCTTTCACCTGCTTCGCTTTTTGTTGAGAGCCTTCCTCGATAAAGTGTCGTCTGCATGAGACGCGTGATCACTCTTCTGCAGTAGGAAGAAAGGCTATATTCATCTCCCGAATGGAATTACGTATTTATTTGAGGCTCTTCCCCTTCTTGATCACTATGCTGTCTCTACCGCATTGCTCTAACCTTCAGACTGAGCCGCCTTACCTCTACCAATCCACTCGTATATCTACATCTCCAATCTGCCCAGGTATGAAGAGCCTATCTAAGCTATGATTCGATCAATCATTTATTCTTTCAAGGTTGGCCATTATCACAGAACTCTTAACGAAATCTACGCTCCGATCAGGAACAAGACGTCAGATGGGCAACCGTTCCTCCAAGCCCCGAAAGTCCAAGAGTAGGCTCCCTGGAGTCAAAAAGAGGCACTGGAGTCTTTTAGATCTCTCAGACGATGTGCTCCTCAGGATCTACAATTTCCTCGGACCGGCCGATGGCGTATCCTTTGCACTTTCATCCCGCCGTCTATATGCAACTCTGTCAAAGCCAGGGGAGAGATTCATGGTGCAGGGAACCGATCGACTCAAACTCCTGCAGCGCCTTGAACGAGACGCCGTCTCCCCCATGAGTATTCTCTGCGCGGTTTGCGAGAGCTTCCACCGCCCTCGACTGACCAACGAGTGGAATGCAAAAGAGGCGACCCGGGCTTGTGTTCAGTCTGGAGACGGTGAGGTGTATGGAAAGACTACGCTCAATCTGTTTCCCACATATGTACACTTTGACCTCGTCACCGCCATCACTCGCAGCCGGCGGCACCATCTGGCGTCTTACAGCCCACAGCTTCTCGAGTCAACTATCAAATTCACACATGTAAGTGCTCAGATCATTTGCAAGATACATGCAAAAGTCATCGACGGCTGCTTGATTGTCAAGATTGAAAAGATCCTCTACACTGGATATCGGCGCAATGCATGCCAAGGCCTCCCAAACCTCGTCGAGCTACTGACGAGAGAGGATGACCTGGGGAGTTGTTGTCCTTACATCCGATGGGCCGAGCTTCATCCAGTCGTGTTTAGGCCAAATGAGGAAGACCGTGCAGAGCGAGAAAAGTGCGCCTGCTTGTGGGAACACCCAGGAAGTTGCTGGAGAAACCAGAAACTCAAACCCCAACCTACGAAATGCCGCGGAGAGGTGACGCCAGAATTGTCCAAGATCTGGGGCTACCACTACTGCCACACTGATATGACCATAAGCTACCGCTATTTTGATGAGCCTAGCGACGTCAAGATGGTCACTCTCACGGCATGGAAAGATCTCGGCCGCGGGATAAGCATCGACGATCCTACTTGGAAGACCCATAGTGTCAACCCTGGAGTTCCGAGCCGCCATCGCGATGTGGGGAGTTTATACCATCTATTCGAAGGAAAAGAGGGGAGCAAGGCTTCGATCCCATATATGCCCGAGTTCAAGGAAAAATTGTTTGAGGAGTCATATGGGTCACACGAGCAGCTTCCCGCCAGCTTCACAACTTGATTGTCATAACGAAGGACAGTCTGGTGAGACTCCCCATCAAGCTATCTAGAGCTTTCACAGTTTTTGAGGACACGATTGAAACAAGAAGCCGGCCTTTCCACGAAGACACGGCCTAGAATGGAACAGAAATTGATCCAGTAAATTGAATACTAGAACATCAAGGCCTTGTCACCCTGCCATCTATGCATAGCTCTGTTGAGTTTGACCAATGTTCCCCCAGAATAGTATTTAATTTTGCGTCTCAAAGTCAGGCGGTTAAGGAATGCGAAACCCACATTATCCCATCCGGATAGCATCTCAAAGCCAACCTCAGATCCATTGCCACGTACTGCCCGAGACCCAAGCTCCCTGTGCACGTAGGCGTTGCAGCCAGAGCAGACCCCACCAAGAAGAACTCCCATGAGATGAGAAAGTCTTTTCCGTTCCTGTCATAGGTATAGAAGGACACAAAACTTATAGGTAGCTCTTCTAATGACGGAGACATATCCGGAAGTTAGGTATAGCAAGTACAATGATTACCCAAGTATGGAGATCAGGTCTTGATATATGAGAGACCTCTCTTAGATGAACCTGAAGCTACTGCAACATAACCAAACCATCATCTCAGGCCGTCATGTCTGCCTCCGGCCTGGTCGATCCCCGCCTCCGCCGTCGTAACCGCGCCGACCCAATTCCGCGTAGGAGTCTAATAGTTGTAAGACAAACACCGATACTCAATGTAAATGATGGCTCGAGTGCCCGAGAATCGGATGGGAAAGGGCCATGTTATGCAGATGGCCGATTGACCCTGAGTCGTGTTCGAAATGAAAAGATGATGACCCAGCGAGAGCACTGGAGTTAAAAATGATCGCTCATCAGATGGCGGAGCATCAGCATGCGTGATGCCGTGCTTCTGCTACACATCAGGCTGGAATAACTCTCATCCATTATATCTCGCTCTCCTCTTCCATCTTTTCCTGGTTCGAGTTCAGTCCCACGACTTTCTCTTGTCGTGCTCTCATGTCGGCTCCCGACACCTACTATAGGACCCGTTGAAAGATGTCTTCCTCATCACCTTCTTCAATTTACAATCTCTATGAATTTTTTGCGCTCTCATAAGCGAAGGGAAACAGTAGTTATATATCACTGTCGTTTAAACACCCTCCGATCTGTGGGGGTGTTTATGAGACCAAGAGTCGAGATTCGGGTTGCCATCTGAAAATAAGCAAGATAAGATGCCCTCACTACCTCGCCCAAGTAAGCTGAGTTTTGTATAGGTACCGAGCCAGGTGCATGATAAACCCGTCCATGGCCAGTTTTCCCCAGCTCGCTGGTGGTGTAGGAGTGAGCTGGGACTGGGTGTGAAGTGTTCACACATATATGCCTTGACTTTGATGTACACGATGAAACCAAGGTCGAGATTAAAACACGCCTCGAGACTCTGGTACTCCATGCTACACACCATCTAATCGTGAAAACTACGCCAACAAGGACAGGCCCCATTGTCATCCCGATCCAGGTACTTGAGGCAATAGGCAAGTGGAGGGCACTAGCATTTGATCAGCTAAATGAATTACAGCTGCAGACAAAACATACTAAGAATTTAGAATAATGAATCAATCCTGTCACCAGTTAGTGATGTTTAACATTATCAGATCATGTTTGCTTCGCGAATGCATCAAATGTTGACTCGAGAACAATGCACCCCACACGGCTGGCAGATGATTACGACAAATTAGATAAGGAACTAGTAAGAAGCTGAAGAATTAAACTCAAATCTTCATAAAATATAGTCATAAGTTTGGCAAAATTGAGGTCAAGCTTAGACTATGTTTTGATAAATGATTGAAGGTGCAAGTACAATGTAGACAGAAGTTGGTGTTTTTCCTGTGTCCTCGAACTCGTCCAAGTCCCGCTTGGGTTCACTGTTTTGTGGCTGGTACCTCTCAAAGCTGGGACCCAGCCACACCACCGCTCAATAGCCTCTCCAAGCTTCAATCAAATAGCTCCATGATCAGGACAGACGTGTATAGATCTCATATGCTGCTGCCTGCAATAATGACTCCAAAGATCTAGATACTAAAATGTCTTTAAAAATGAGTCACTTCGTCACATGGAATCTGTCCTTTTGGCCTCGTCTTCTGTGGCATCTGATAGCGTGGCTCAGGCACCAACCGCAAACCGCCCCTCCTCTTGGCA